GTAGTAATATATGGTAAATCATACATTTATATTTAATAATACTCGCGTTGGAATTTGCTAACTCAGTTCCAAGGCATCTATATACCTAACCCGTGAAGCCCATTATTATGTTACTGAGATGGTGCAGTCAAGTTATATAATTGTATTTTTGTAAGAGCCGTTGCATTGTGCCATGAATTCACCAGCCTCACATCATCTCACATATTACAATACCAGCAACTTACATAGCTTACTCCTATCCTATTGCAAGTTCTGTTTTTAGCTGGCTCCATCTGTGTCACTGATATACTATTCACAACAAAACGCAGTGTAGTATGACATTGGCTGTCTTCACCAACGCTCCTAGGTATTATACATCCAGCAAAGTCTCAATATGCCATTTAGTTCCCATGGATAAACTTAGGGAATTAGGAAAACACGGGATACTTATTTGACTCTTAAAGGGGCAATTGCTATCTTTTTTGTAGGTTTATGTAACATACTAATCGAGATAATAAAGTCATAGGGTTTGCTGTTAGTACAAAGTGGAAGATTACGTAAAGACACGGGCGTCTCTTATTAAACATGCCCATTGTGTAGCACAAGTAAACAAAGAGTTGAGTAATCTCAGGCGAGACTGCAACGGGCCGAAATATATTGGTAATAAATGTTATAATTCAAACATGGCTTGAGAAGGGAGAGTACTATGAACTGTCTCGGTAAATTACCTAGAGGCCAAGCCAAGTTACACTTTTAACCCACCAAGCATGTTTTCTTTCTCCTTTGCGAATGTTAGAGAAGGATACGGAGTTGAAGTATATCCATATGGAGAGATATCGGCTAAGCGCATTCGTATATGCAGTCTAACTTTTGTTTTGTTTTGTTTTGTTTGAATATCATGCCCTCGATACCTACACATACGAGGACTTATGCGCCGCGAACCTTGTCGTGATCCACAGGAAAAAGGAAAAAGCAGGATATGGGATTGTTGTTACCGGATGTTTGTGGCTTATAGGCTGCATAGGTTGCATAGGAGACGGGCTAGGTCCGAGACATGCGGGCAGGATCCTTCGCCTCGACGCGTGCATGCAGATGAGATTCCTCGCAGGACTAAACAGATGATGTGATGGGATCGAATTTGCCTGCTTTTGGAAATCAGCCTTTGTTTTGATTGGAGGCAGTCGATGCTTATCGATAGGGCTACACAGGGAATCTTGATCCTAAGTGGGGCAAAACTGAAACGGCAGCAGCTGCATTGGGCTAAATAGAGTAGTTGCTGTGGTGACAACCCATGTAACAATAGTGGGGGCATCTAGCGGGAAACTGGCAAATAATAACTCGCGCTCAATTGTTGATCTGCCTGAATGGGTTTACCTTCATCTTCCCCTCCATATTACTTTTCTTAGACAACGCCTCGACCGGCCTCTAAAAGCAAGACACATCATCTTATCAACTATCAACTGCGAAATCACTTGCATCACTTGCATTTGCATTTGATCCTTTGCAAAAATATTCCCCGGAGGCCACTTGCGCATGCAAAACGCACGAAATCGCTTTGGCGTAACTTGATCGCCTGGGATGCGCCGACTGACCTCATCGAGCTTCTAGGTTGCCTAACTAAAAAAAAAACTCATTCATTAACTTGACCAGATTTTTCTAATATCGAACCACAATCTGCGGCAAGGCCAGTGCGTCACCGCTTGCAAGCTTGAAATCTGCTTGACCTTCCTAACAAAACTTCGATACAATTCATGAATACAAACAATTAGGCATTTCGCCATCTGCTATTGGTATCGCATTCAAGATGGACGCGAGCTACCTTTCCCAGCAGGTTAATACCATAATCGGTCAGCTCCATGGCCTCTTCGACGAGATTGGCGTTGCCAGTCATGATCGCGAAGCCAGAGAATCGGAGGTGAGCCACACTATATCGATTGCGTCGACGAAAAACTAATAGGAGAAACCTAAAGCTCTTCGCAGCGCTCTCCGAGACTTTGAACAATCAGGTGAAACAGGTGACAGTAGAAAAGAAGGAATTAGTCGAAGAGGCGCAAAAACTTATTACTGTAATCCGCCAAATGGAAGCGTCCCTAGACGGTTCCAGGTCACAACGCAGCTATACACCCGAGAGTGACGATCTTCGGGTCACTTTTCCGCTCACAAGATGCTTAACGGTGCTAAAAGAGAAGCATACGCATATAAGCAAGCTTCACCGTGAGCGATTCGAGCAAGTTAAGAGTAAGTTGAACTCAACCATGGCGGGAGAGATCCCGAAGAGGGCATTTCGTTCTAATCTACTTGTAGAACTCGTACAGGCATTAGAGTCTTACTCTTCCCATCTCGAACCTACATTCATAAATATTGCTTTACCACCCACGGGTGCGAATCAGTCTATTCCCCCGAATTTCGATCTTTCCCCTTCATACGTTAATAAATTAGACGACGAATTTACCCGAGTCTACGAAGAATACACCCGACGTGTAAATACAGTCAAGTCTCTATCGGAGCATATCATCCAGCTATGGGCAGAGCTTGGTACGCCTCAAGCTCAAACCGACGGCGCGATTGTAAAGTATTATCGCGATGCCCCTGAGCAGCTCGGCCTGCACGAAGAAGATCTGTCTAGACTTCGTAATAAGAGAGACAAGTTAGCAGAGGAGAAGAAGAATCGCGAAAAGCGTCTCAAAGATCTCAAGGTGTCTGTTGCGGCTCTTTGGGAGAAGCTGGGTGTCGATGAAGCGGAGCGTAAGGCGTTCCTAAATGGCAACCGCGGCTGCGGCGTCCGACAGATCAACGAGTTTGAGGACGAATTAGCTAGGCTAAACGAGCTTAAGCGACAGAACTTGCACTTGTTTGTGGAAGATGCGCGATGCAAGCTCCAGGAGCTATGGGATACGCTATACTTCTCGGAGGATGAGATGCTCGAATTTACGCCGGCCTTCTCTGACGTTTACAGTGACGCGCTACTAGAAGCTCACGAGCGCGAGATCACTCGACTTGAGACTTTAAGAGAACAGCGAGCGCCCACCCTAGCCTTAGTTGACAAGCATCGTACTCTTGTTCACGATCGAGATGAGCTTGCAGCATCTAGCCAAGACGCATCCCGACTCATGATGCGTGGTCAAAAGGGAGAAAGGCGAGACCCAGGAAAGTTATTGCGCGAGGAGAAGATGCGAAAGAGAATTACCAAAGAGCTTCCCAAAGTCGCTGCAGAGCTTGCCAAATTGCTAGAAGAATGGGAGGATGAATACGGTCGCCCATTCCTTGTATATGGGGAGAGGTACCTCGATCTTCTAGAACCCGAAGCTCCCAGACAGGTTCCAGGCCCAAGATCAAAGACCCCCGCGGGCCCTCCGCCATCGGCAAACAAGATGCAGAAACCAGCGCCGCCACCTAGCCGCACCAACAGTAATGCTAGCAAAGCAGGTACTTTTCCAAGATCGAAAACGCCGGTAGTGAACGGCAACGGCAATGGCACAATCAGGAGAGCGCCTCCTGGTATGCAAGCACCCAAGGACCCGAAGGGTAGCCCGTCCAGGATACCAGCTCGCGCTCCTTTGTCTAATCTGAAGCATGGCAACAATTCCCCCGAAAGACCTCGGCCAGAATCGCGGGCCCAAGGTGTACTACGACCTGGACACCCGCTCTCGCGCGCTCCTCCGCCTAAGATGAGAGACTTAAACTCGCCTCCCGAGCTAGAGACCCCGATAAATCCTTACCGAAACGTCGGACTTGGTTCAAGCACCCATATCCGAGCTGTTGAGCCGGACGATGTGTATGATGATCGGGCATACGAGCGAGACTCGTACCAAGCTTATGAAAGATCTCAATCACATCAAGAGCCGCACATGTCTATACAAAGTGAGCGACTTGCACAGTCATCCTACCCTCAAGCACCTCCTCCGAGACAGATTTCAAATACGTCTACGGTGGTAACCGGGTCTGAAAACTGGGAGACGTACGACGATAATTCGGAGCCGGAGGCGGACACATCCGATGCATACTACGCCAAGGTACGAGCAGCAAGAGGAAAGCGGTTCACACCAGAAGACCCGTACTCGCGGCAGCAAGCAAATGTACCGAAGCGATATCGAGGCATCCCCCCTCAAATGCCACCTGGGCACGGTACGATAGATGCTGAAGGCAATCGTATCATTTCGGGCAGTGAGTGGACTGATGAAGATGCCTACTAAGCATTTCACCATTCTTCCTACTGGACCATTAACGAGCGATAACGAGCAATTACGAGCTTTGAAAAGTTACGCATCTCACCGTTACGATTTATGTGACGCTTCTCACAACCTGTCAGCGATGGCGCTCTTCCGGATTCTTTCACATAATATTCTTGGTCACGTTTTGGCACTGTTCCCGATTTACACACACCGGTTTTTGCTTCTTGCCTCTTATTCCGCTTCTTGTATTTGTCTTTAATTGCATTATGATGTCGTTCGCCGCGAGGCCACCTAGGTGGAGTCCTAGCTTGGCAAACTTGACGTTTGTCAAAGCTGGTCGATAGCGCATAGCACCCGAATCGTGGTACTCATGATAGCTTTAACTTGCCTGGAATTACATGCTCTCTGTTGGAACATAATCGGAAAGGGGGTGGTAGGCGGAGGGTAAGCAAGCAGCTAAAGGGGGTGAGGAACATTGGAATCGGCGTCGGTTCATAAGGCGTCAAGATGGAGAGCGAATAGGCATGTTGAGATTCATATTCCGGCTCCTTTCGTCGTAGCTGAAATTAAAGAGCCGGCTTGAAGCCGGTATTTCCTCTTAAACGTAAAATCGCCATAGTCTTAGCGAATGTGAAAGTACCTATGTTTATAATTGCTAAAGTTGAGCCTATCGATGATATATGTAGTAGCACTGCAGATTAAAGCACAGCAAGGTTCATTAGGTGCATCAGTGTGCATGTAGTGTACCCCTGATGCAAAGCCCCAGACATCGGAAGTCGGGGTTCTCTAGCGTATTATTTTAGGATACGAAACCTTATCAGATGGTCTTGTTTCAGCCTTCAGCCTTCAGCCCTATCTCCCAACCCTCTCGTAACTCTATTTCATTAGCCCCTGCTTCGAAATGGTTAACTGCCTAATCCTTCTATCCTACAACTACCATGTAGGATTCTCATCTTGTTCCGATGTCACTTGTTGCGCAACAATATATTGACAGTAGCTTTATATCCTACCTATAAACGACTTGCCTATAAATGAACCCCCTTTCCTCCAACCTCCAACCCAGGTGGTCTCCTAACAACAGGCCTCATGAATGGATCAGGGACCCTTAATCGGAGCCGATTGCCGCCGAACCCATCGGAAAATCACGACGATACTTCCTATAATGCCGCCTTAAAAGGTGCTTCGCTCGCTTTCCAAAAGTCCACTCCGAGACAATTGTCTACAACCACCACCCCTTCTCGAAATGTCGATAACCGAGCTCTTATCGCAGCCACCTCGGCTTCACGAGATCATTCCCGGGCAGCTAGCCGACAGAATACGGGTAACGACAGCAGCATCCACGGTGCAAACAGTAGCCTTGAACACGAACAACGGATAAAAAACCAGACTTCGGTACAACACTTACAGCCACCCTTCCATGATAGCTCCTCCTCCTTGGGGTTTGGGAGCAAGCAAACTACGCCAGATCCTCGTTCTCCATCCTTCATAGCTGCAACCTTGGCCGCCAGCAGATCTACTAGTCCCGCCCATCAGCATCAAACAGCTCAATCGCATCCGCACGCCCAGCAGCCAGTCAGGAGTCAACCGAAATCTAGCCCCGATGCCAACAGCGCTGCCAGTTCAGTAACGAGCCTCGACTTAACAACAGATATGACCTCAATCCCTCCTACGAACGCTCTTATATCGATGTTTGAAAAGAAGAGAGATGATACAGATCCTATTAAGAAAGATGTAGAGGTACCGGAGAGTTCGAAGCCGCTTAGAATAAAATCTGTGACTCGACCTCTGACCCCTCCAAGAACATCGAGCTCTATTTCTAAGAGTAGCCTATCCCCATCAAGACTAGCTAGCGATATAGCGTGGCAAAGAACACCATCTCCTTCAGTTTCAGTGATGAAGTCAGCCCGGGAGGGACATCGCCTGACTCAAAATATGGCCATCGAAGCTAAGGCACGCCCCCCTACTCCTCCACCAGCAAGGACGAAGAACAAACCCTACACGCCTTCGCAACCTAGAGCTCTAGAGTCAAGTGGTAAACCGCGCGCTTCTACACCACCAAAGTCTATTGGAAAGGCGGATACCGTTATTCTATCGCCTCGGCCAACGCGGTCTACTTCCCAACAGATTCTATTAAACGACATACAGGCACAAGATGCGGTGCGGCCGGGCCAAACGTCCGGGCCAAGGCTACAATATCCGGCTCCCTCACATGAAATTACAGCCCCATCCCTCCGGGAAGATGATCTTCGTCGGAGTTCGACTTCATCTAATGATACCTTTGTCTCTGCGTCATCAGTCCCAACACCCCACCCTAGCTCTCCAGATAGAAGTAGATCTCGACCATCAACCCCTATCACGCCGCGGCAAAGGCGGCCTCCATCAACACGGGCTATATCTACAGAGGCTACCTCCGCTAGTCGTCCACCAGTTCCCCCTCGGCGACAACCGTACATGAGCTCTCCTAACCTACCCCTGGATTCACTTACCGATGCCATCGTAGCGGGCGCTCTCGCATCGTCCCGTATAACGCCATCAAAGACCCCGCCGCCAAAGCCGCCGTCCCGCAAGCAGACACCACATATGCGCCAGACGCTACGCCATCCGCCTAGCAAATCGGACGACGAAGGGGTGGCTCGCTCGCGCCACCGCAAACCTCTCGGCAAACTAGGCGGCAACAAGCACATTCACCACGAAGGTCAGCGTCGCCGCTGGCGCGAAGAAATCACACTACGCGAGCGCAAGCGGTACGAGGGCGTGTGGGCGAGTAATCGGGGCTTACTGCTTGTTTCACCAGATGCCGGGGATTCCCTATCCGCTCCTACTTCTACCCCTAACGAAATAGAAAAAGAAAGGGAAAGGCAAAGGGAACTAGAGCAAGCCGTAGCCAACGTGGTGGTGCGTGATATCTGGGCACGCAGCCGGCTACCGCCAGACGAGCTGGCGGAGGTGTGGGACCTAGTGGATAGACGTGGGCGTGGATATCTAGACCGCACGGAGTTTGTGGTTGGGATGTGGCTTATTGATCAGAGGCTCCGTGGACGCAAAATCCCGCGCAAGGTCTCAGAAAGTGTTTGGGGAAGCGCTAGGGGCGTGAAGGTTGCGGTGCCGAAGGGGGGGAAGTAAGCTTTTGCTTATACTTCTGCTGGTAGCGGTGGTGGTTGGTGGTGCTATGACTTCGAACAGTCGTGCTTTTTGGCGGTACGAGTAAATAAATGGATGGGAACGTGAGAAGGCGGGCAGGTTGTGTATAGACTGGAGATTGGATAAGCGCATGGGATAAGAGAGAGGATTGATACCCCTGTATAAGTTTAAAGTAGAGTTATTGGTGGCACTGGTTGCCTATAGTATTTATAATGACCTATCTTCGTTTTCTATGGTGTGTAAGCTATTTTAATGCTATTTCCGGTGCTTTTATGGAGAATTGAGGTTGTAATTTGAATATGTCATATGGCTTGGTTTTTCTTATTTTACAATATGAATAGCATAATGTCTCGTTAGTTGCTTTAACCATTCTCCATAAGGATATAAGGGTATACCTAAGACAAGGAGTGAGAGCACAACGTTGTTAAGGCGCGTAGAATTATGAATCTAGCCAAGACTGAGCTAACTGGTATAATTAGAAGCTACTTTTTCCAGATGTCTTGGTAGTTTAGGGAGCCAATAGTCTCGTTACATTAGTGCTGAAACATTGAAGTATAAGTTCCATTAACTACGATAGAGTTAAAGACATCCATGGGTCAGAAGAAGTTAAAGAGTAATTAACAGTACTTGAATTGAAATCATGACGTAGGAATTATAGAATAGCCCGTTCTTCTAGGACTTCCCTAATGAGCCTCATTGGCCTCATCTGAATACCTCTATATTCTATATATCCCTTAAATTATAACATTTTCTCACCACTAAATATTAGATGAAAACGATACCTAGCCTTCCTCGACTGAATCTATATCGAACCAGTCGGAATTTGACTTACCTTAGGAGTATAATGATTCCTAACCAACTCCCCTACGCGCCATTCACGACATGTCCGGTACGCTTCAAAGTGGTGACAGACCAGACGAAGAAATCAAATAACCCCGAAGAGGAACAGAATGGCTGCCAAACAGCCAGATCCGCAACCAAGTCCACAAGTATTAGATCCGAAGGTCCCGGGTCGAAATCTGGGGAGGGACCAGGTCAGCATACGGGATAGCTAAGAATCATTGGTCTTATATAATCATAAAAGAAGCATTCTAGGTGATCTGTTCTTCAAAGTACTTTATCTGACACGTTCTAGAAATATTCGGGACATACGGGCAGACGGGTGGGAGTTTGTCATCTGTAGGATCCACCTACGTAATGGCGCATTTGATGAAGTGTAGGACCAAGAGCGATGATTGGATAACAAAGCCACAGACAATGGTTACTAGCCTTGTCACGCGGATCCCTTCAGTGGCTAGTTAGCTTTCTTTAGGACCTTAGCGTCCGGCAGTTCCTGAAACACCTGGTCCCGGCCACAGCTGGCGTTACATAGTACGTTTGGAGCTTAATTACAGGTACCTACCTAAGCAAAGGGATCCAGTTTCCAGAAAGGCGGCGCTTGTGCGACAGAAACGTAGGAGACTTTTTATTATTAACTTATTATTACACGAAAACAACTCCACGGACTTCCATTTCTATTTTTACACAATCCAAAGGGTCCTTCTTGCATTTTGACCAACTCACTTCTCACTTCTGACTAACTGAATTTCTTTTGTGGCAACTCTCAATTCTTACCTTCTTGCGACTTTACAATTTTCTAAACTTACAAGCAACACGCACGCTGATTTGCTAATGTTTGACGATTACTGCCGCAATTCATTCCTAAGCACTTGCTTAAACGTTAATTGCATTGAGCAATAACCCTGAATCTTGTTGATCTGTTGAGGGGCATTCCGACGCCCTTTTAACCTTATTGGTTATTGACTACGGCCGCTTCTACATACTTCTTCTACTAACTCCCTTCTCTTTCGCATATTCTCTCTGATCTTCAGTTGAGAAGCTTCACTTGATACTTGTCCGGCCCCATTCTTAATTAGCTTTCCACCATTTTGTCGGGTTAATATTTTGTGGTGTCCAGCTGCTCAGCAATGAATCGCGTCGACTATCTTGAGCTACTCTGACTTTAATCCACTTTACCCCCTGACATTACGATTCAGACACGATATTTTGGCGTCAACAACACGTTACTCTTATTCGTAATTAGACCGAGGTCGACTCAACTAATCTAATACTTGGAGACAACAAACCTACCTATCCGGAGTTCGGAGACCGACCTTATTTCACGCGTTCCCAAGAGCTCATACAATGGCCGAGACCGCGACCCAGTCCCCTCTCGACCTATCCACGAATATATCAAGTCGAGGTGCAACCATTAGCGTTCCTCCTTCATCCGCGATGGCAGCGCCCGCAAATACCCAAATCAATCGTCTACGAAACCAGTTCGCTGTACCGATAGCTAGCCCAGTCAATCAGAATGGAAGCTTCGAGTTCGACCGCGTGCTCAAGTCCGGCTACGTCCAGAAGCGAACCCAGAAGACCAAGGTAAGTAGCTACGTTATACCATACTTCTACCCCGAAGATCATGTCTGCCGGGGTACTAAACAGTAATGTTTGACAGACTTGGAAATCTGTTTATCTTGTTCTTCGACCCAGCGCTCTCTCAATATACAAAACGGACAAGGAGAGCAAGCTTCGACACAAGCTCTGGACTTCGGAGCTCTCCGCCGTCACGCTCCTCAAAGACCCTAAGAACAAGCGTCACAACCTCTTCGGTCTATTCTCGCCAGCGAGGAACTACCACTTCGAGGCCCCGAATGCGAAGGATGCGCAGGAATGGGTGGACCTAATTAAGACAGACGCGAAAATAGAGGAAGAGGAAGAAGAGATGTTCTTAGCAAGCCCTATTATTCGCCGACAGACATTTGCTCCCGTTGGTACATCGCAGAATGGGTCAGGAACGACGCGGATCTTACCTCCAGATCACGAAAGGCCGATCTCCAGTTCACCCGAGCCTATCGATCCGAGATCGTCGCGATCTGCACCATCTACGAGAAGACTTTCGCACAACGATTATTCGGGGCTATCTGGAAACGAACTTGCTTCGCATTCAGATATATCCGACAACGAAGGACGAGCCCACGATGCATCTATCGAGAGTCTTAGTGCTCGATCGCCCACTACGTCGGGAACGCAAATAGAAACCGGCTCAAACAATCGTCCAATTTTGGGAGATAGGAATGCAAGCCAACTTAGCGGCCTTAATCTCGAGAACGATCCGGATCGCATCGTCTGGCAAGGCTGGCTCTGGTTGCTAAACAGCAAACGCGGCGTTAAGCAGTGGAAGAATCGCTGGGCAGTTCTCCGACCCCGGAATCTCATCCTCTATAAAGATGAATCCGAGTACAAAGCTTCCTTCATACTATCCCTATCCGGGATAGTTAATGTCGTGGACATCAATCCGATCAGCAAAACGAAGTCGCACTGCTTTCAGGTTATCACGGACGAGAAGACGTACCGCTACTGCGCCCACGACGAGGAAACGCTAGTGCATTGTCTGGGCGCTTTCAAGAGCCTGCTCTCCAAGCGGAGAGAGTTGGAAGCGCGGGCAGCTGCCTCGGGGAACGTGGCACCCCCTAACCCAACAGCAGCATGATGTTATCATGCAAAGCATTGTTTTTCGTGATACCCCTAGGAGCAATATGGTGAGACTGCATTTGGAACGTGGTATGGTCAGGTACACAGGCGAGGGGCGTAATACCGTCTCGGTGCTACGAGCTAAGAGTAAATCTCGCCTAGGAGGGAGATGTTACCCTTAACGAAGTGTTACGATACAGAAGCATTCTGGCGTACGCATGCTCTGCAGCATGATAATGACAAGAGTTGTACAACTTAATACTGCTACTGCTGCCCATCAGCATTGCAATGCAATAATACCGTGTGCTACTATATTAGCTAATATAATATAGACAGTTTTATTTGTAAGGGGGGATTCTGCTTGTGATAGATTCCCGTGTAGCCTTTATGAAGCGATTCGAATGTTGCGCCGGATTTGGCTTGGCTCGGCTCGGCAGTTCGGCTTGTGTCCAGTTAGGATTTACATGTTTCTCGTAGGAAGCTGGGCTATAGCAAAACCAAGCGACACATAGGACCCATTTTACGAGGACTTGATAGTAAATCCTATAACCAATACATAAACTGACCACCTAGCCAGGGAGATATGGATGGGGACTAACAAGAACCGAAACTAAATACACCGATATAGCCGGCTCCGCCCATGCAGCTACGGACCTACCTAAAATAGCCTCGTCGATCCGAAAGGCAGTCGGAGTTAGCCCGGCGGCGTAGTTCCACACACACCATCGCCCTAATCTAGACGCAGGCACGACGTGCGAAAACCGCCGCAAGCTAGGGATCGTCGAGATCTTTACTCGAGTAGGTAGTTAGAAAATGAAGACTAGCTAAATATCTGGAATGATTGGTTGGTGATTGTTGATTCCTACGAATATTCACTACCGACGGCCCCCTTTTCACGATAATAACAATAACTTAACCTAGGATGTAGATTATGTGATTTCACATGGGAAAAGCGACGAAGAGAATAGGTACCTAAAGCAGTCGGGCAGTTGGAATTAAGTTATCACCCGCCAAGCTCGTTCGAAGGCAGGTCACCCGGGACGAGACTACGGGCGGGCGGGCGAGCAGGTGATTGCGGTAGTGGCTGGCTGTAGGCTAGGATCAGGTTCGGTGGATGAGGGTGAGGGTTAGAATGAGGCAGAGGCAGAGGCACGACATCAACGGCAGGTCGAATTGCTAATGCTGCGATGCAACCTGCCATCGAACCAAAGCTGAATCTTAGCTGGATTGGTTTATTTTATATTATGTACCTAACGCAGACATGTGCGCATATTTACCTAAGGTACCTTACCTTATTTACATCAATACCTCCTAACATTAGCTAAATGTGGCGCTCTCCTCCACAGCACGCCGGCGTCCATCCCCGCCCAACTCCACCGGCGTCAAGCCACTCATGCGAGGCATCCTACCTCCTACATATACCCCTAGCAAACCTACATACACCAACAGGTATGTACCTTCTTGGAGACATCCATCTCCAACGGCTACGCAGCGCAACACACATCTTAGCCCCCCCTCCTCTTCCCCGATTCCCCACCCCCATTCCTAGCTTCGCTATTCGACGGCCGCTCATCAGTAAACCAGCCAATCAGCCGCCGCCGTCATGCGGTCTGCTATATGACCACCCTTGTCTTGGTCGTGACGGCGCAACCTTGTCTTTGGAATTGCCGTTGCCGCTATCTTGGTTTTTTTTTTTTTGGACTTTAACCCTTTTCTGCTTTTGGGGGCTCCCCTTGCGCAGCTGGCTAGCTAGTATGAAATTCTTGGGAATTTTAGATCCCCTGGTTCGACTTCTTGTTGGACGAGAGAGAGATGAGAGTGGTAATGTTATATGTCGGCGGCTGGCTGATCCCCCCAGCTCCACTGGTGCGTTAGGGATAGTATAGGTAGGTATGTAGTAGACTTGGTTTCTGCAACGAAAGCAGTAGGCATCGCCTGTGCTTCTGTCTCTGATGAGGGGCACTTGTTCCTGATCTCCAAGTGAGGTCCCCCATTGGGTCAGGGTCAGGCACGTCTTTTTTTTCTCCCTTTCTCTTAATGTGCGACCCCTGGGTCTCGGCCTCGACCGATCTCGTGGCGAGAATATCCGTCCCTGGCTCGGGGGTGCGTTGGTCATTAATCTGTTGGATCGGGAAGGTCGGTGGGTTCCCAATGCAGGTAAGGCAGGGTAAGGGTCAGGTAGCGATGCGGAAAGCTACCTACTCAGCATGAGGGCGCGTCATCGTGGTTGTCGGTCTACCATTTTATGTGATACTGTCTTGGATCTAGGAGACCACGTTCTGGTTCTTGTCCTCTTTCGGCTGGACCTGCTGGTCGTTATATACAGCGGGAAATCCGCATTCCAGGTCGCTTTTTTCGTCTGGTTTTTGTTGGTAGCCAGCTGTGTCGCCAGACTCGCCTACTTGAGAGACTGGTGTTGAGAGCGCTTCGACGCCTAATAATATAGTAGTTAGCTGTACAGAGATAATTCCGTATCACGGCACACATACGCTCGAATCCCAGTATTTAACCCCGGCTGAGCAGGCACTGTCAAGATGAAGCTGCTCTCGCTACTCACGGTCCTAGGAGCCACCGTTCTCCCGGCTGCCCTTACTTCCGCTCAGAAGCTGCCTCTATCAACATCGTCGCGATGGATCCTGGACGCAGACGGCCAGCGCGTTAAGTTGCGCTGTGTTAACTGGGCCGGCCATCAGGAAGCCAACCTGCCCGAAGGCTTAAACAAGCAATCGATCGACTACATCGCCGACTTCATCCACCAGCAAGGCTTCAACTGCGTGCGCCTGACGTACTCGATCGACCACGCCCTCAACCCGGACGTCCTCGTCTCAGACTCCTTCGTCAACGCCGCCAGCGCAGCAAACGTCAGCGCTACCGATATGAACAGTATGTACTCCCAGGTCGCCGAGAAGAACCCCTTTGTGAACGGCGCTACTACACGTGCTGTCTTCGAGGCTGTCATCGCAGCGCTCTGGAAGAGGGGCGTTATGACTATTCTAGATAACCACGTCAGCAAGGCGAGTTGGTGCTGTGAGTAACCCCTTTCCTACTACATTCTTATTGCCCCTTAAAAAGAAGTAGAGAGGGAAGATCGGAATCTAACAAGTACCAGGCAACATCGACGACGGCAACGGCTGGTGGGACGAAGGCTTCGGGTACAACGATTGGAACAGCCGCTTCTTCAAGACGCAGGACTGGCTCAACGGGCTCCAAGCCATCGCCACCTGGTCCGTTTCCCAGCCCGGCGTAATCGGCATGTCTCTCCGCAACGAGGTGCGCGAGTGGCTCCTCCAGGGCACCAACGGCCGCGCCGACTGGTACAACTACATGACGCAGGGCGCGGAGCGCGTACACGGCGCAAACCCAGATCTCCTAGTCATCATCGGCGGAACGCAGAGCGCCACCGATCTAACACACCTGCGCGTCAACAAATCGCTCGACTTCAGCGGGTGGCAGGGCAAACACGTGTGGGAATGGCACGCGTACTCGTTCACAGTCACGTTCGCGCTGGCGAAGGGGAACTGCGATTTGCTGAAAGAAACGTACGGGCTGTTCGACGGGTTCGTGCTTGTGCAGGGAGAAGACTATACCGCGCCGCTCATCCTCTCCGAGTTCGGGTTCGGGATGACGGGCGGTCCGAACGATGGGCTCTCGGATGAGGATAATAGCTATTTCCAGTGTCTGCGCGACTACGTCACTGGTAATGACGGCGAGTGGGCGCTGTGGGCGGTCCAGGGGTCGTATTATGTGCGGCAGGGGGCTGTGGGTGCGGAGGAGAGCTGGGGGTTGCTTGATGCGGATTGGAAGAATTTGAGGAATGCGAAGTTGCCGGATTTGTTGAAGCCGATGTTCCAGGTTACTCAGGGGCCGTGAGGGGAGTCGTGAGGTGTTGGAGAGGAGATAGGGGAGGGGGCTGGGGTTGGGGGGTTTCTGGGTATATATTTTTGAGCTTGTATTTTTGAGGGTTCTTTTTTGGTATATATAATCTGATGAGAAGTGAGGGCGAGGAGGAGGAGGATGTACTTGATAGTGGTTAAGTGGTTGCTCGGGTTGGCGTGTATTGGGCTTGGTTCTGATACCCTTTATTTACATCGTACAATAAAGCATAAGTTATTGCTTACAATTTGCATCTTGATATTCGTAAGGAGAGGAATGAAAAAGGTTTATTGTATGTAGGAATTCCGCGTATATAATATAATAATACGCGTATAACACTGCCCCTTTCTTATATAAGCTGTCTGTTATTCTGCTGCCTGGAGTCATATGATGCGGACTGCATGCGCGGTGATCTCGGTACGGAACTACATACATGTGGATGATGTGTAGATGGAAATACAAAGTGACTTTTAGTAAAGCATGCTAGAACTAAGGTAGGTACCTATTTATTACCTTGGTGGCGCTACTTAGGTACATACCTTAGGTAGGTAGGTAGGTACGTGATACATATCTAACGAAATAGCAGCACAATTCAGCACTCGGAGCCGCGTGGCCGGCTCAGGCTGGTAGCAGATCTGGTCATGCGGTTCCGAGCGTAACAAACTTCTCGCAGGGTCGCTGGGGTCGCTACCCAGTTTCTCCGGGAGGGTTTTTCGCGGTGCTGGGTTCGAGTCCTTTGGTTCACTCCGCCGTTTTTTTTTTAATCCCTTTTTTTCTTTAGAAATTTTTTTAGATGTACTTTAGGAGATTCTGTCAATGGGTTACTTGGGTATTTTTACTTTTCCATTGCAGAGGCATTATCTGCAATAGTCGACATGTAATATCTATACCTATCTATAGAATAGTCGTGAAGCCAACACCATGACTTAGGTACATATATATATATATAGAGAGAGAGAGAGAGAGGCAAAAAAGGGACGTATGTTAAAAATATGTTCACGTAGGAGGAGCCAAAGAAACACGTACCCGAGGCCCTTCTTCATTATTTTACAAGTTCAGACTACGTTTATGGTCGGCAAGACAATAGGGGTATTAAAGAAATGTTTGCGATAGGTTGCGTTCTAGTCATGCATTATGATTATTCGAAAATATAGAAATTACGAGCTGCTCTCACAAAGTAGGTAACCTAAGGTAATTTTGTTATGGCCAAGTACTAGATTAGGTACTTACCAACCGTATCACAGATGTCGTCGGCGCGCAGCAGGTGGCAAGAAATACGTATTACCTAGATACATCCTCACCGTTGCCAGGCAGCTGCTACCTAGCTGCCTGGCCCCTCCGCAACATAGGTTCATAAGGTGCACTAAGAGGTCCTTCCATCACCCCTGATCCGCGACTGCGAGGTCAAAATGGCCATTGGCCGAGTTGTTGCGGAAGTAGGGATGGAAATAACTCCTCGAGGAGTTTTTCGTAGGGTGCTTGGGTTCGATTCCACTGCAGGGCGGCAAGAAGGTCAACTTGTTCTGGTCAAATGCGTGGGATAGGATCTGGGTTCCGAGCTTTTTTGTCGATTTTATCTTTTTTTATTTTTGTAGAGCTTTCAGATAGATAGATCATTGTAGATATTCTTTTCTTCTATTTTATTTCCTCTTGCTCAATAAGCCCTCAAGCAAATAAATGCAAGCATCATATATGCACCTCGTATTCCCTAGTCATGTCCTATTTGTCGACTTTAAATGATGATTTTTTATTAGGTCGATTTTATCTACTGTCGTAGAGTCATATACACAGATACCATGCTCTATTTTCTATGTATAGCCGATCTGCTAGAGGTAGACGTAGAAAACATGGAAAAACAGTGACTACCTATATATACTGAGAATATCCTTTGCTCTAGATATTTTGTTTGAAGTCCTGACACTACCTCGTGATTTAGTTATGTCAATCTGAAGAAAATAAATTCGGAGACGGCTAGTTGTTGGGAGCTACTATTACTATATGTGTATAATACCTTGACGGTGGCCCCTTGACCCTTCTATTTCAGCAAAGGTCAAGGACTCTAAGTTGAGTTTTCGATATGTATTCACTTTATTCCTTTCGACCTGAATTGGTTGAGTTATTAAACATTGAAGTTGTATATAGATATCTGCACGCGAATGAGATCACTGTAGCAGGAAACGCCCGTTAGTTCGAGAAATCATCAACGTATTTTCCATGCACCTCAAATACTGACCCTACATAGACTGAGTTAATCAAACCCCTAGTTACTTTTGTAAGTCGGTAGACTAATGTAGGATTAAAATAATAATATATTGTACGCTACTTAGGATCTTCTATGACGAATTACTCCATCGTCCAGTATATTCTACCAACTATAATCCCTACCAAGGCCGGAGCTAAGAAAGGGGTTGCCTAAAATGCCGCCCCACCCCCCTGGAATGTGACGATGATATACCTCTTTTCAAGATCTGCTACCGTAGGTTCTTCGTTCTTTTCACCAAGAACGGTGATATAAACCATTCATCTGACCTGCTACTGGAAGTTGAAGTATTCTTCGTCAAACTGTGCTAGATCCGCGTCGTTATTGTTGTCGAAGTACATCATATCGTCAAATGTACTATCATTGACACCTCCGCCTCCCAAGTCAAACATGTTGTCCGTTCCGCCGTTGGTATTGTCCAGGTTGAACAAGTCATCGAGGTTTGTATCAGTTTTATCTTCTCCCTTTGGTTGCTGTGGGGGTACCGTTATATTGTTCTGACTGGTTCCTGCAGCGGTCCCTACAGTAGTGTTGCCAAGCTTAGAGGAATTTAGTGGCATGTCGTTACCCCCTACCTGCGGAGCGAACGTCGTTAGATCAAATTCAGGCATCGGAGCCGGAGGTGCGCCCGATGCTTCAGCGTTCGATGGCGCAAGGGAGAATTGCATGTCTGTGAAGCCTAGCGCATTGCTACCCCCTGCTGCATTAGTATCGCCACCTACGGCGTTAGCAGGAACCAACGTCGCGTTCAGAGTCGCGTCCTGGGCGGCTTGTGCTGCTGGTGTAGTTTGGACCTGTCTACTGGGTTGGGCACTCGGCGCTGCTGGTTGCGGTTGGGTTGTAGCCGCTGGTCCTATGGCAGATGGTTGAGGAGGTTGCAGCCGGGGGATCTGCGGCGGAGGCACTGGGGTTACCTTGATGGGTTGAGCTAGCTTGGGTGAGGGTTTATGTAGCTGCTTTGGAGATGGCTTCACTTCGTTCTTTACCGGCGGAATGGCTCTGACTGGCGGCCTGATAGCACTGGTTGAGACCCGTGGCGATGGCTTCTTGTCGTTAGAGGTCAGGTCAACTACGTCAGTAGACATGCCCATGCCCATACCCATATCGGGGAATGGGGCTGTCGGCTTGTGCTCTTGCTTGGGAGCAAAGGCTGGGGCGCTCATAGTGTGTGCCGCTGAGGACGGCAATTCCATCATTGGTGCCGGTGGTGCCACAGGCTGCGGAGCGGGAGCGGGAACGGGAGCTGGAGCGGGAACAGGAACGGGGGCTCGGGCTGCATGTAGCTTCTCCAGATCCCGCAGAATAACGGCCTTGGCCCTAATCTGTTGATGAAGTTAGTCCGAACACGGCTAGGAGCTACACGATAGGCAAGTACATACAATTTCGCTTTCAAGGTCGTCCAAAGCATAATGATACGTCGTCATTGAATCTGACGTCTTTGCGCGTATCGCGTTGCTCGCGCTAACGTTCCTTGGACCATCCTTGGAATTTGCTTTGAGATGCTTCCCAGTTTGCACAAGCTGCGATGATACTGTTAATTAGGTCGTTCGGTCAGGATACGCTTAGTATCGAACAACTTACAACTTCGTTAAACATCTTGTCTAGGATCTCAAGAGGATCATGCTTCGGAGCCGCCATTATGGCCGGTGTTCGTTGTGACGTATTCGTATTCACGATAGATGGAAGATAGATGGTGGTGATAAATAAGGTAGTTGAGTGCTGACTAAGTAGAAAATATGGTGAAGCGTTACCGGGTTGATAATTTGATAGCAAGTGCTATTATTAAGATCGTAGACCCGAGTTTTAAATGAATACTTTACATATGTAAGGTATAGAACTAAACCGAGATTTGTAACTTGGCAGCTTGGTTACTCGTGCCCACATACGTAGAATAAGGTTGCCAACTCCGGACACTGTGCCCCACTAGTATTGGTTCATTCAATTGCGTAGGGCTGCCTTGGCCTGTGGCTGGTGTCATACTAAAGAGATACTTCAAGTACATGTATCTATCGGATCTGCTATAATTGATATGAGTTACCCATACATACCTATAGGAATGATATTGGCAACGATTATACTGTAGATTTAATCAGAACCAGAGGTACTTGTTTGTTTAGGAATCATGATTTAAGGTACCCAGGTACGTAACCAAGCTCTGATCTGTAGAAACAGCCTGCCATCTCTCTATATTATTGCAGCAAGAAAGTATGGTTACCCTTTAGCAATGTCGTTTCTGGATGCATTGATATGGCCCTGTAATTTCTACTTCTATTAAGAAGTTGAATGAGCAGCCACCTAGTAAAACAAGCCATACAGTAAGATAATCAGCCCAATCATGCCCAAGTCTAATGGATACCCATCTTATCTAAGGATAGTGATGAAGCATTCAGGGTGAAAATATAAGCAGAATGATATGGACAGGTTGCATACTTCAAATATTGATATATTTTAGCTACATCAATATAGGTACTTAACCATGTGGGGTACCTAAAGTAAGCGCACATGCAATTCTAAAGGTTGGCAGGTCGGATAGGTCAATCACCCCACGTTTGTGCATTATTACCTAAGCCGTTCAGATATGTACATAGGAAATGTACTTCAATTTCTTAGATGCTTTATGTGGCTTAGCAGCCCTACCCCACCACCATTCAGTATCCGGGTGAGAAGTAGCGACTGATACTTACCTAGGTGCGGTACCAATTAGATACCTACCAGCTTGCTCTGTAGACCTGTGTGTTCGAAGGTACCTTTGGAGTAGTAGTCATCTGCAAACGAAACGAAACGGCCTGGCATCCCCACATTTCTGAACAAGGCTTCTCCACTTATCCATCAAACTCGTCTGAAAAAAACCCAATCCCAAGACGCATCTGCTAGACCCCGTTTGCTTCCCTTTCCTTCCTCCATCTCCCGTATCGTGTGCAGAAATTCCTCACGTATCGTCGGTGCCGTGTGTTGAAAATCGGGGGACTCCTCCTTTTAAGGCAGTTTCCTTTTTCTCTTCCTTCTCATCTTTGTTCTCGTCTCGTCGCCGTCGTCGTATTTTTTCCAATCGGTAAAGGTTCACTTTCGTCATTTTCCTTACTGTCGTCGGTCGCTTGAGGCGTTGCATCTGCATACGTTTCTGCTCCGCTGCTATCACGTCCCGCCGACAGCGAAGTGAACGTCACTCTTGGTCTCTCTTCAGTCTAGGCGGCCTTTCTCATCCTTGAGTTGCGAAGACCTTCTTCCTCTACACGTCTTCGTCTAGAATCGCATTGTATCGGCGTCTCACTCGAAAACAAGTTCCTTTCGAGATTTCTCTCTTCGATAAGAAAAAGCTTGCCTTCTTCCGTCTCCTACTCGCCATTGCGCATTTCCGCATACCATTTGCACAATTCCGATAGATTCGCCAACCACGAGCGCGCCATTGTATTCAAGAAAAAAAACCCTGGGACAATAAGATCGGATCTTCAATACCCCACCTTTTCCTCACCTTTTTTTGTTCACGACCTCAACTGAACGAAGCTACGACAATTTCCCAAGTTGATAAGAATTGGGAGCCTTTTTTAATCCAGAAAACCGCACCCCTCCTTTTTTTCGCAAATCAGCTTTTTCGCCTGCTCATTTCTGTCGCATTTCAGCAACGAATTAATTTTGCAAGACAATCTTACTACATCACTAAACAACATCTCAGTTAATTGTTAGTTCGCAATGGCTGATACTTCTGCCACTTCCCAGCTACCTCCGCCGCCGCAGCCTAATGCTGGCGCGCCTGGATTTGACAACCAGAATGGCCAGGCCAATCCCACCCACATGCCGCCGCCGCCTCTTCACATCCCGCCGAACACAAACCCCATCCCTACAGCCATCACCTCTCCCATGTCTGCCGTTGACAAGGGAGGCGTCATGTCTCCTAGCAGTGGAGGCCCATTCCCGCGACGTGCAGCACCTGAGCCTAATAAGCGCGCCTTGTATGTAGGCGGTCTTGACCCTCGCGTCACAGAGGATGTCTTGCGCCAGATCTTCGAAACCACCGGGCATGTTCAGAATGTCAAGATAATCCCAGACAAGAACGTACGTGATATTCCAGGGGCTGTATCGGTATTATAACCATAGACCCATTATGTGATTATTCACTTTCAGACATGCGCTAACTCTTTACTATAGCAAAAGGGATATAACTATGGTTTCGTCGAGTACGATGACCCTGGCGCGGCTGAGCGTGCTATGCAGACGTTGAATGGTCGACGTGTCCACCAAGCTGTAAGATTTCCCCTGCCACTACTAAAGGATAGGATTAACACGCGATTTAGGAGATTAGAGTCAACTGGGCCTATCAGTCCAATACTACTAACAAGGAGGACACATCGAGCCACTTCCACATCTTTGTCGGCGATTTGTCCAACGAAGTCAACGACGAAGTCCTGCTGCAAGCCTTTTCGGCTTTTGGAACCATCTCGGAAGCTCGTGTTATGTGGGACATGAAGACTGGGCGTTCTCGCGGTTACGGCTTTGTCGCTTTCCGAGACCGTGCGGATGCCGAGAAAGCCTTGAGTTCGATGGACGGCGAGTGGTTGGGTTCTCGTGCAATTCGATGCAACTGGGCCAACCAGAAGGGGCAGCCTTCAATGGCTCAACAGCAGGCGATGCAAGCTATGGGCATGACGCCTACTACCCCCTATGGTCACCACCATTTCCCTACCCATGGAATTCAGAGCTACGACATGATTGTCAACCAGACGCCGGCTTGGCAGACTACCTGCTATGTCGGTAACCTGACCCCCTACACCACTCAGAATGACGTCGTCCCCCTCTTCCAGAATTTTGGCTATGTCACCGAGTCCCGATTCCAAGCTGATCGAGGCTTTGCATTCATCAAGATGGATACCCACGAGAATGCTGCCATGGCCATCTGCCAATTAAACGGATACAATGTCAATGGACGACCTCTGAAGTGCAGCGTAAGTTGAATTTCTCCTGTAATTCATGGAAAATGATATTAATTATATGATAGTGGGGTAAAGACAAGACTCCCAATGCCCAGGGAAGTTTCGATCCTTCGCAACAAGCATTTAGCCCTCAAAGTGCCCAGGCGTCTGCGTACCCAGGCACGCCGTCGACCTTCTTCCCGCAATATGGAGGTATGTAATGTCTACCTTGCTTATCCCTGTTTGGACTGCCGTGCTCACATCTATATTAGCGGGTCAGTATGGTGGTCAGCAGCAACCCTACGGTGGACCGCCAGCTCAGTCGCCTGCTGGTTATGGAGCGCAGCCCATGGGCTATGGCGGTCCGCCGAGTGCTGGGGGTTACGGCCGCGGTCAGCAGCCGCCTAACCAGCCGTGGACGCAGCCGCCACCTGCTCAGAGTTTCAACAGTGGATATCCTGGGTACCAGGGTTAGCGGTCCTAGGGGGGGTTGATTTCTTGGAGGAGCGTCTGGTTAACAAGTTCCCTTCGGATGTGCACGCTACTTACATTCCCCCTATTTTAGTCTGGTTGCTCAGTAGATGGATGCGCGTTCGAGCATAGACCCTTTAGGTATTTCGATGGAACGCAAGCCACGCCAATTGGGGATTTCTCTTTAGATGACGCATTCCAGTTTTTGCTTGTTACTTTCTACTCTTAACATTTTCTCTCTTTTGATATTTTCGTGGTTGTGATTCTGGCTTGGATTCTTGAAAATCTAGGGCTTTGCTTGTTGTTTGGTTCCGTTCTGAAAAGAAAAAAGTTTCTGGCATTTCCTTAAACGCTTCTTTGATACCTCCGAGCATTTATTGATACAGGCGCAACGATTTTCCCGCGTTGAGCCTGACGAAGTTACGGCGCTATTATTATTATTATTCTCTTAAGTCCCCCTTCAGGCTGTGGGAGCAGGCTTCTTGATGGCCCACGAGGAACAAAATTTCTCTTTTGATTATTAGGGGGGAAAAGATGACGTAGAGGTTTGTTATTACGATACCTCTTCATAGGGGCGGATGTATGTAGTCCCAATCGAGCGGACTGGTTGGGAAAGAATAGCCACCAGTTTGTAGAGCTCATGAACAAAGATGATACGATGATAAGTTAAGTTGGACTACCTAGGCCAGTGTTTTCACATATTCCTATTCTGATGTGGTACAAAAGCGCAGGCAAACCTCATTCGGATTTGGAAGAACATTCTACAATTTAGTGGACTCAGGAGCCAGGAGGTAGGTCAGATTAGGAATATAAGAATTAGAGACGTTGTAATATTTCCAAACTCTACGATGCACAGAGTGTCTTCGAATGGGTTAATGTATACGTGATGCGACACCTGCTTAACGATGTTCGGTTTAAGGGGTAAGATGTGACAATTGAACAACGAGAATCCTTGCTGGTCTGGTGTCATTTAGGCTTAGATCTTTGTAATCATGCCCAACCTCAGCTATTATTACTATAAATAAGAGCTTTTCGCACGTCTAGTTTAATATTATCTCGGGAAGATCTTTATAAAATAATATGCCTCATTTCATTACAAGGCAATATCAAGCATGTCAACCAAGCTTAACCAAGCTATTATAACGGCAGTTCGGTGGACGGGTTGCTCCAAAAGCTAGAACGTTTTGGAGTGCCACGACTGGCCGGACCGGCAAACATAAAAGGTAGTATCAGAGTTAGATCGACGAATTATGTGCAATGCAACACGGGGGGAAAGCTGTCGAACGAGCTAATCTAAGAAAGCTACCTCCGGCCTGACTTTCGCATCATATCATATCCATGGACCGGTGCTACTCCTTGTTGATTGTGCTGGTTTAGGTATATTCACCATCATGAGATCCGGGGGAGCTTCTAGATGAAACCGGGAACGGCTTGGGGGGAAAGAGAAGAAGTTCAAAGTAGGAACGTAAAAAGATAAATAAAATAAATAAATAAAAGGCCAACAGTCGACTCCTGCTTTGATTATGTGCTTGGTTACCTATAGGAGATAAGGTATATGTAGGTTATAAGTCATGTTATTGCTGTCTCCACTCCCATGTGTTTGTTTTGAGCGTTCTCGAGCAGTACATAGGGACCTTACAGTTATTCTATGTGTGTTTGGCATTTGATAGCGCTCCTCTTTTTTTTTTGTTCCTCGAACATATGCTCGAATATATTAGAAAAAGGCGGTATATGCCCGATACAAAGACAAGTCTTAAAACGAGATGGTTTCTTGTCTTTTCTTAGGTACCTACACATGTAACTTTCGGCTTCCCAAGAAAAAGCTTCTCGAGGACGGCCTGTGCTTTGTTTGCTAGTTCCAGATGGTTTCGTTACGTCGTTTTGTCGAGGCGCGCCGGTTAATAACGCCTTTGTGGCGAGGATTCCCGGTGCTATCACACGGGGGTTTTCTCAAGGGGCCCTTTTCGTTTTCGTCGCTGTTATTTGGAGGCGTTACTCATTGATATTATTGAGTAGGTAAGTGGTTGAAGATATCGTGTGGATAGTAGATTGCCGGTTTGGATGTTGCAATCATAATCCCAATCCTGATGCCAGTCCCGCAATCTCAATTGCACATGCATCTGATTCCGTTTGTATGTGACCCTCTCACCCTCCCACCCCTCTAACCCTCGCACAGGGAGTAGGCTACTGTAACTATGCACGCAACGTGAACTACTGTTTGTTTTGAAATCGCTTAGGCGTGTTTTTAATGCATTTGGAAGATGTCGGGATATAAAAAATTATGGTTCGACCAGTTGAAATGCCATGGAAATACGGATTAAGTGTCATTGATATGTACCTAGGTACTTACATATCTTTTCGGCCACGAAGTTCCATTATATTAGGTACGGTTGGTGGATATAAACATCGAAACGTATGTACCAAAGCTAATTTATTTGGTTGTACTGCTGTATGCATTGCACTGCTGTGTTAATATAAGAGGTAGGTACATACCTAACGTACCTCCTAACATCAACATTGAATGTTGGTAAAGGGCAGGTAAAGAAGAAGGAACGTTCAAAGAGGCTGTTATTACCGTAATGGTAAGTCCCAAAATTCGTTGAACGTCTCAGGCGACGCCCTTTGTGCTTTTGTGCTACGTGAGGGTGGGTATCTGGCAATCTACTATGTATGTAGTTCCCCCGCCGTATTGCCCTCACTTTAGGTACATGCCTAAGACAACCAGACAACCCCGGTGGTTCAGTGCCTTAATTAGTACCCAATCCACCCCATCCCCCTCCAATGACAACCTTATACTTTAGATACACAACAATATAGGTACCTATGTAAGAAGTATAAGAAGTACTAGCAAAATAGCGCAAACTTACGCGTATTTAAAGGTACCTTAATTAGATTTTATTTGTAGGTTCTAGGTTAGGTACACTTTACATAGTCCAGCTTGCTGCAGGTCACCAACCTACCCATGGCTTATCTTATGTTGTCCCTCCACTCTTTTCAGATTCTCACTTTCTTGTCCTGACTGACGTACCCGCCATCCAATCCCAAAAACCTCACGACACAATCTGCATCTAACGTATCCTCTTCCCTCCTCTTCTCTTTTTTTTATTTTCTTCCCTCTGCATCCTCAATCTAAAGAAACACGAAAGGGCTGTTCAAAGTAAATAACTACCTTGCAGCACCGAGATTCCTAGTCGCCTTCTATTTAGATTTTCGCATCATGAATACCTAAATCCTACCGTTGTACCAGACTAAACCTCTCCCGTATATCGCATTTGGGTACGAACCGCAGCCCTCGCCCATTCGTCATCCTTGTTTTCCCCATTTTCGGCCAACCTTTTTTTGTCTCTTGGTTCAAACACCTTGAACAAGTCAGCAACGTCGAGCCCGGTTAGCCAAGCCCGCATTCTAGTGAGCCCTTTGCTCATTCTCAACTTTTGCTAATGCGCGTGTTATGACTTAGGAGGACTACCCGACGACAATAATATTTTGGCCCGAATTGGCCGTATCGTTTTACCCCAATTCATCTTTACTCGAGCCAACTTATTCATCGCCACAACCCCCGCTGAACCTGTCGCCTCTCTTTTCCTTGCCGCCCGGACGCCATGGATCAATGGCAGGGCTATTCCGACGCCGCTGGCGGTTCTCGAAGATACAACGGCGGTAGTCAAATGACTCCGGGTAGGGAATATGCTCAGCAACCTGCTCAAGTCCAGCCTCCCGTCGGCTTCAAGTATGATCAGTACCAAGGAGCGATAAATTCGCATGCTCCCCAGCAGAGCGCGACTTCACCTATCACCACCCCGCAGTTACGCGATGGCAATGGTGATGTTCCTATGCAGGATGTTCACGACCCTTACGGGAGCATGAAATATCCCATGCGCCCGCATCATCAGTCGCACCTCTCTGGTGGCCGATCTGCGAACCTCCACTCGCCCTCTGAGCCATCGGCCGCTGCTCAGCGATATTCGCCTATGGAAGTGCTGTCGCCAACATCATCGTATGCACCCAAGTCGGCAGCAAATCAGGCTCAGTTCTCCGCGCCCCACACTCAGCGCCAGTCACCCACCCGGGCTGATTATCAGTCTCAGAGCGGTTACTACACCCGACAGAACTCTCAGCTTCCTTCCATTACGCCATACGCAAATTCCCAGGAGAACTACCCATCAGCTACTGTTTCGGCTCTTGATGGCGCCTATGCTAATGACCCAAAATCACCGAGGAGAGCGCTCCAGCCCACCGCCACTATGCCTGTCGAGAAAAAGCCCGTGCCCCAGTTCAAGAAGATCGGGGCCATGACGGACTTGCGACCCAAGGTCAATGCTCAACCGCCGTTCCGCCGCGCAAACCCCGAGGGAGGGTTTATAAGTGTATGAAGACTTACTATCGAGTATTACCCCGGACGTAGCAATTCTAACAATTTTTTCTTTTATAGCCTCTCCAAGCCCTTACCGTTCATCTGCCCGCGACGTATCGCATATGCAACCCTAACTTCAAATACGAGTCTTCCCGCAATCCCCGTCGGGTGCTGACTAAACCGAGCAAGGGAACCAAGAACGATGGGTATGATAATGAGGACAGCGATTATATTCTTTATGTCAACGACATCCTAGGTTCGGAGGAAGCCGGCCACAAGTGCGTTTTTTTGTAGTATCCCCTTTGTGGACTATTGCTAATGACTCTTATAGGAACCGATATCTCATCCTAGACGTGCTTGGACAAGGTACCTTTGGGCAGGTCGTCAAATGCCAGAACTTGAAGACCCAAGAGGTCGTTGCTGTCAAGGTCATTAAAAATAGGACGGCATACTTCAACCAAAGCATGATGGAGGTGTCTGTGTTGGACTTGGTAAGATTTGAGACCAAGTTATCTGCATTGAGCTTCGCTAATGACTACGTAGTTGAACACGAAACTTGACAAGAACGATGATCACCATCTACTACGACTTAAGGACACGTTTATCCATCGACAGCATCTTTGCTTAGTATTCGAACTTCTGAGCGTCAATTTGTACGAGCTCATAAAGCAGAACCAATTCCGAGGTCTCAGTACGACACTCGTCCGAGTATTTGCTCAGCAGCTCCTTAACGGTCTCGCCCTGCTTAACAAGGCGCGACTAATACATTGCGATCTAAAACCCGAGAATATTCTACTAAAGAACCTCGAGAGCCCCATCATCAAGATTATCGATTTTGGCTCAGCCTGTGACGAGCGACAGACAGTGTACACATACATTCAGTCGCGATTCTACCGGTCACCAGAAGTATTATTAGGCCTTCCCTATTCCTCGGCAATCGACATGTGGTCACTCGGCTGTATCGTAGTCGAGCTATTTTTAGGCCTGCCGCTATTCCCGGGCTCGTCCGAATACAACCAGGTCTCGAGAATCGTCGAGATGCTTGGAAATCCCCCGAACTGGATGATCGAGGTCGGTAAGCAGGCCGGTGATTTCTTCGAGAAGAGGCAGGATGAATTCGGTCGGAAAACATACCATCTAAAGAGTATGGAACAGTACTCTCGGGAACGTGGGACGAAGGAACAACCTAGCAAGAAGTACTTCCAAGCGAGCACGTTACCGGAGATTATTAAATCATACCCAATGCCGCGAAAGAACATGAAGCCGAACGAGGTTGAACGAGGTAGGAACTGTCTTCCAGCTAGACGGACTTTTGGCCCAGCTAACCTGTATGTCTAGAAATGAACAACCGAATTGCTTTCATCGATTTCGTACGAGGGCTACTGACTATCAGCCCTCTGGAGAGGTGGTCGCCGCAACAGGCAAAGCTTCACCCGTTCATCACTCAACAGAAATTCACCGGCCCCTTTGTACCACCGATGAACCTGAAGTCAAGTTCTCTGAATCGGTCTCCAGCTCCTGGAACCCAACAGCAGCAGCAAGCTGCCGAACTTAGCAAGCAAAGAGCACAACAGGCGCAAGCTCAGGCTCAAGCGGCTGCTCAGGGAGCTTATATCATGCAGAACCCCCAATATCCAGCCACGCCACACGGACAGCCTTCGATGTACCAGACCAATGGCTTGTATACCCCCAGCGGTAGTCACTCGGGTGCGCCGCCGCCTTATACCGCCCAGCAGTCTCCTTACGGCCAAATGCCCATGGGTCAAGCACCTGCACAAATGGTACCCGGGGGTTACGCTGCCGTCCCGCAACCGAACCTATACCAACAAGCTACGGTTCGAGCGGGCCGCCAACGCGCGTCAACGATGGATCAGCAACAGAGTGGTATACCTGCAGCAATTCAGAGAGTCGCTAGCCACCTTGATCCGAGCCAGCCCATCAGACTGCAACCGAGTCCTGCATACTATCCACCACCCGCCGAAGGCATTGGTCTCACAGATCCTGGAGCAGGTAGGGTGGCCGGCAGGAGAGATAGTAGATCGCAGAGAGGGGGTGCTACTAGAAGTAACCGTGACTTTATCCGTAACCTGGAAGAAAGGACACTCGAGGAGGGATTCATGGGGGGTGGAGGCCAAAATCCGTGGGCTTGAGGAATGCCCTATGCGATTAAGTCCCACAAGAGCTGAACCGCGTATGTCGGTCCACGTTGAGGCCATTACAGCCAACCTCAGCCTGTTGACGAGGACCCAAGTTCCTAGGATCGGCTCTCACCCCTAGCTAGATTGGTAGCAACGACATTTCCGAAAGAGCCTGTCCTTCGGACGCTGTTATAGCTCCGCGCTAGCCTACCGGCGCGAACTTTTACAGGCGTGTATGATACCCAACAGAACATAGGGTGCAACCTAGATTGCCCACAAGTTTACTTTTCTTTCCTCTTTTCCTTCGCTGCACACTACAGTTGGAGATTGATGATATTTCGGCTGCATATAGCATTGGGAGAGGTTTCTCGACGAGTAGCTCTGCTTTGACGACGAGTGGATTATCAATGAAAATATTGCTACGTTACAGCTCAGAAACCCCTAAGTAGGCTGTATAGGGGGAAGAGCCACCTTCGCTTTTACGTTGCGGTTCGGGCCCGTAGGCGAAAGCTTAGATCCAGTACTCATCTTAGTTCCGAGCGCCCGGTTTGTACTTTGTGGGAGATACTAAGCCTTGTTTCTCACATAGATTCCGTTGCTGTTATGAGGGCCAGTGGCGGTAACGTATTACGTCGAGGGTAGATGATGCCGGCTGAGTGGTAGGAAAGGGGGATACAACATGAGGAATCAGGACGGTGGATGGGTGAATGGTAGGATGGAGGGAGAGCTTACTGCTGCTTAGCAGCTAAATTTTTTTTTTAAACCTGCGGGAAGCGAAGAGGATAATGGAGGTCAAATATGACCATATCGCGCTAAGAAGCGCGGTTTGCTGTACGTATACGTACCTAACTTAGGCTACGTATGATACCTATAAATGCGTACGGGCTACCTACGATGACTACGGTGACGAGTGCAAGTTAAGTGGGTGATTAAGTGGTTGAATCGTTTGGCAGTCAACTAAAGTGCATAAAGTGTGAGATGTTGATTTGATGATGGAATAGGGGTAGGATAGGGGAAAAGGAGTAAATGATCGGGTAAGTGAGTGTCTAGGTACGGGTGTGGGAGATATAGGAGAGTTCCTAAGTGAAAGGCTAATAGGAACGATATTGTAGATATATATTACGCATATATGTATACGGATATATAAATGAGAAGTCCGTATACTTGTTGGCATTGCCTCTTATAAGACTTTTAAGCTTTTATACTTGGAGATACGATTCTTTAATTATCCCGCTACCTTTCCCCACTTCTCTCCACTTCTCTCTGGATTCACCAGACGTTAGACTATATCCTATATCCGTCTGTCTCGTCATTTTCGTGTCTCCCTATATGACACCCCTCCTTGTAGCTTTTTAGCTTAAAATTATGTATGCCTCGAAGAATTTTAGTAGCGACCCTTGTCCTCATACCTATTAAGTTAGGTGTTTATTTATTAATCCCCATATTACGTTTCTCGTATCCTTTCGATGTACGTAGACATAGGTGTAGTCAAGTAACGGCTATAAGAACAAGCTAACATAATGTTGATTTAACTATTAGTAATTAACTGTAGTTATAAGTAGCTAGTAATTACGTAATTCCACCCACACGGCGTATAACCCGATAAAGTTACGAGACATGATTAAGTCGTAGCATTAAGCCGTGTCCATAAAACTGGTTTCATAATCTAACCTATAAGTGACCTGGTTGTCTATAGCCCCTAAGTGCCTGCCTATTAGGTACCCGCAAAGGGTATATTAACTATATGAATATCTCGTCTCTCCGTTGGATCCAAGGCATTAATGGTGGTGCAAAATGTAGACGCGTGTGTTGTATTAGTACATGCCTAAGTACCTAGGTAAAAAGGAATAACTCGAAGACGTCCTACGTCATGTCTATACGTCCGGTACTCCGTCTCAGGATATCTCGTCTTCCTTTTCGTAGTTTGCGTCGTATCCGAAAATGTGACTCTAATGGAGACGTCCATTTCTTCAATGCTTGTCTCATCAAGGGAGTCCATTCTCTTGGTCGGCTGTAATATAGCTCTACTTGCGCGCTGTAATGGAGCTACATCTCCTAGGATTCCTCGGTTCACCATCACCGGTATTGGCGGTTAGGTGAATACTCATTATAACTACCCGGGCAATATTCACCCCTCGTAGCGGCATCCGCTTCTGATCCGTGGTCCTACCTTCCGGTCCGGAAGTTTCTGCCCCTTCGACTATTGTTACCACTAGCACCGTTAGTTTGGTTTTTGGGGACCATGGTGTCGCTGTATAGGCCGCCGCCGTTGCCACCGCCGCCACCGTTGGAGTAACCACTACCAAGCGAGTCCGTCTCCATCCGGTCATCAAACCCCATCGATCCATCAACTACAACGTTATTGCCGGCTGATCGAGTCTCATGGTCACGCTGAGCGCGTGGCCCGGTAGGCGGTGTGGAGCGGTAGGTACCACCGGGCTTTAGGTATACGTGGAGCGTTCTGCCGTCGGCCTGTCGCATTCATTAGCTTCCTGGACATAATATAGCTTAGCTAACTTCCGGAAGACTCACTGTCTGATTGTTAAAAGTCTGGATTACCCGGTCCGCGCCCTCCTTGCTCTCGAAGACTATCTCGGCTATCACAATAGGATGTGTCTTGATTAGTCGACAGCTGCTTACAAGGCCTCCGACTGGAGTCATGGCGCTCTCGATATCAGCGGCTGTGGTCCCCGGCGCAAAGTTCTGCGCCATGACAGCGAATGGTCCTGCAAGGCCTCGAATCGTTATGCCTTGTCCTGGGGGCTGCGTGGGTGCTGAACGCACGTTCAGCTGCTGCTGCGCCGTCGCGGGCGAGAAGGTTGTACGCTCATAGGCATTGGCAAGCCGAGATGCACGGTTTGGCCGGGCATTTCGCGGGGCATTTCTCGGTCGAGGCGCCGAAGTACCTGGTGCATGGATTCGGGATGCTAGCGAGTTCGGGTCTTGTTGCGCTCTCGGGTTCTTGGGCGCGTTGTGAAGGTCGTGAGTCCATTCACCGTTGATATCACCACCTGAGAGACGCGCAACCGATGATACTCGCTTTATGAAGCGGTATATTAGTAGAGTGTTTAGATTTTCAGAACTGGGATGGGGAGTGCAGTGTCATCATACCTTCTTCACTCCGACTCTGCTTGCAAGGGAACCAGCGGTGGGTGCGCTCGCCCGTCTTTGACCATCTTTCTTTTTAAAGATACGCGCAGCAAGAGCTTCATTCTTCTTACGCTCTCGGCCTAAACCAATTGAGCATTAGTTGATGAGCTCTCCATTTATATTGATATTATAAGTTGGTAATTGTTGTCCCAAGCTGCTTATAACACCAAAATTCGAGTAACCTACCAGCATTAATAATCTTTTCAAACTCGGTGGCGTGTTCTTTCGCCATTGTGACTTGGTGGTGTCTGAAGCCTTGTAACGGATGACGAGTATGCGATATTGGCAAACGGGGACAGACGGAGGGATCTAATCAATTCGCAGAGGGGAATATTCGCTTGGAATTTAGGTAGGTATGCTTGTAAAATGGCCGTGAGGGTTATCTCGAGCGAAATGTTATGAGTTGGAGGTAAAGTGGCAAATGAGGCGGTAGAAGATATGAAGGGTCAAAAGTCATTAATTATGCGCGGAGTTGAATGGAGTTTGTTAAGAGCGCGAAGAGTTGAACTTGGTGCAGGGGGGTGGGCGCGTCGTTTTCTCTACGTAGGTAGGTTAAGGCTTTCAATTAGGGATGGGGGGCATTCCAGGTAGATATGTGGCCGTGCAATGAAGTCTGTGGCTAGGTATGTATGTAGCTAATGGAACTGCTTAGGTAAACATATCAGCTGTAAAAGGTACGTACTCGAAGCGATTAGGGTCAAGCAGCTAGCCCGCAACCCACACAATCAACTTCTGCATCGAGGGGAAAATTATCGGCTCTCTAATTTCGGGTGTCTCTTCCAAATTTCTTCAATTACCCAAACAACCCAAACATCCATTCTCTCTTCAACATCACGAATTACGCAAATTAGACCGGCACCATGGGTCGCGTGGTATGTTCGGCACTGCTTTTCCATTAATTCCATTAATTGGTATTATCGCGACTAACGAAATTCGTTAAATAGATTCGTAACCAGAGAAAGGGTAACGGCGGTATCTTTAGTAAGTATTCGACGCCAACTTTCTCTCGCAACATCCTCTAGCGCTCGCCACGATTGCGATCGATTTAATATCCTCCGATACATTCTGATACGGACTATTTCGGCTTACCTTTGATTTCTTCTAGCCGCCAACACCCGCCTGCGCAAGGCCCCGGCCAAGTTCCGTTCCCTCGATTTCGCTGAGCGCCATGGCTACGTACGAGGTATCATCAAGGAGATAATCCACGACCCGGGTCGTGGTGCTCCCCTCGCTCGAGTTGTCTTCCGATCCCCCTACAAGTTCAAGCAGATCACAGAGACCTTCATCGCCAACGAGGGTATGTACACGGGCCAATTCATCTACGCCGGCAAGAACGCCGCCCTTACCGTCGGAAACGTCCTCCCCCTCGCCTCGATGCCCGAAGGTACCGTCATCTCCAACGTGGAGGAGAAGGTTGGTGACCGAGGAACTCTTGGTCGCACCTCTGGCAACTACGTCACCGTTGTCGGCCACAACCCCGATGAGGGCAAGACCCGAATCAAGCTCCCCTCTGGTGCCAAGAAGGTTGTCTCCAGCAGCTCTCGAGGAATGATCGGTATCGTCGCCGGTGGTGGCCGAACAGACAAGCCTCTCCTGAAGGCTTCGCGCGCCAAGCATAAGTTCGCCGTCAAGCGCAACAGCTGGCCCAAGACTCGTGGTGTTGCCATGAACCCCGTCGACCATCCTCACGGTGGTGTAAGTAGAATCGGATGTATTGGAATATTTTGTTTAATACTAATGCGGAATCTTAGGGTAACCATCAACATATCGGTAAAGCCTCTACGATTTCCCGATACGCGGCGCAAGGTCAAAAGGCGGGTCTCATCGCAGCCAGGCGGACGGGTCTGCTGCGTGGTACCCAGAAGACGAAGGAGTAAAATGGGTTCTCCAGGTCATGGTTCATCACGGCGGTTGGAGTTTTACTTGTTTGCACTTTGCATCTCTCTAGGTACTTGGCGAGCTACGATATGAGATAGGCTCAATGGAAGTACCCGGCATCAGATTCTTTCTGCACTTCTACACATATTTTTCAGTTGTCACCCTTCGTGAAATTAGTGAAAGCTGAGATAGAGCTATTACGGAGGATTTGCTGCATGGATGGTAATCCCCAGGCCAAACCAGGCATACTTCGTACAATAGTTATAGGGTTAAGTGGAGATCCTATTACAAAAAAGATGAATTCCGATCAAAGTCTCGCGTGACGAGATGGAACCATACGTAGCCGTATGTACCTAGATAGGTAGCCTTCGTCTATCCTCGGTAGGGCATGATATCATACGATGGAGCTAGCCTTGATAAAGAAGTTAAAATACCTCTAAAAGTAACCGCTTTTTTTTTTCGATACGAGTTGCATACATAAATACCTTAGGTACCTACCTAAATGTCTCTCTGATGTTTTATCATCTACCGTTTCTCTAGGTTCTTACCAAAGGATGCTGACTTCGTCATATTGTCTTATTAATAATAGCGCGTGAGATTTTAGAGGTGAGTAGTAATACAGCAGGAAGTAAGAGAATGCCGTTCCCCACCTGCCTTCCCTCCGGGTTGATCCCTCGGACAATCTCAAAAGCGCTACGATTCTATAATAACCCCACTAACACCGCCCACGTCGCTTCCTACGCTTGTGCCTGTACAGCTGTCCCGCTCTCCTATAAAATCTCACCCCGCCAAAACCGCCAAAATAAGGGTCTTTCTACCTTAACACAACCGCCGAATCTTTTACCTCTACCAACATCATCTACCGCTGCACGACGACGCTTCCAAACTACAATGGCCGCTAACAAGGAATACGTACTCCTCGCTTTGGAGAACCCTCTTCTGGGTGAGTAAAACCTGAATTTTATACAAGTGCAGCACAATTAGGCGTCTAAGAGGGGTGAGGGTTGAGGGGTGAGGGGTGAAAGTTGAGCTTTGGTCAGGAAATGCACCGGAATAGTGTATAAGCCAGAGCAACAACAGAGCTACAACAGAGCTACTCTTGAAGCTTCTAATTCTATAAGAGGCTATACTTGAAGTACAGCTTCAGTTTACCCAGGAAAAGCGAATTGTGTAGCACATGGAATTCTCTATAGTTTCGTGTTCTTCTCATGGACACTAACCCCCACGACCGCTTCGGCCGAGTTTAAGCTGACATATTTCGGGGCCGATCTCAGATATCCAGGCCCAAGGCAATGAGGAGCTCCTCAAGAAGTACAACCTTAAGGCCAATGATGCGATCCTGGCCTCTCCCGAACACATCCCTATCTACGAGGAGCTGCTAAACAACTACGATGCCAAGCTGATTGCTGGTGGTGCCGCCCAAAACACCGCCCGTGGAGCTGCCTACATACTCCCGCCTAACAGCGTCGTCTACCTTGGTGGTGTCGGCAACGACAAGTACGCTGACATCCTCCGCGATGCCGTCAAGCAGGTCGGCCTGAGGGTCGAGTACCGCGTCGACCCCAACACCCCCACCGGCAGGTGCGGTGCCATCATCACCGGCCACAACAGGAGCTTGGTCACCGACCTTGCTGCCGCCAACCTCTACGACATTGACCATCTCAAGAGCCCTAAGATCTGGGAGCTCGTTAAGAACGCCGAGTTCTACTACGTCGGTGGTTTCCACTTCACCGGTACTTTCACTCCCTTTCCCTAACGCTTGCATAGCCAGCGAGCAGATAGACAGACGGAATTAACTAACAACCCGCAGTCTGCCCCCCTGCTATCCAGGCCCTCGGCGAGGAGGCTGCCGCCAACAACAAGACATTCATCGTGAACATGAGCGCGCCCTTCATCGCCGAGTTCTTCAAGGACCCGCTAGACGCATCGTCCCAATACTGGGACTACGTGATCTGCAACGAGTCCGAGGCTGCTGCCTACGCGCGCTCGCACTCCCTGCCTGTTGCCGAGACTGACGTTGCAGGTATCGCCAAGGCCCTTGCCAACCTACCCAAGGCCAACACCAAGAAGCCTCGTGTCGCCGTTATTACTCAGGGTACCCTACCTACCATTGTTGCTATCCAGGGCCAGGATGAGGTCAAGGAGTTCCCTGTCCACGCTATTGATGCTTCTAAGATCACTGACACCAACGGCGCTGGTGATGCCTTCGCTGGTGGTTTCGTCGCTGGTCTCGTCCAGGGCAAGTCCCTCGAGGAGAGCGTCAATATCGGCCAGTGGCTCGCACGCCTGAGCATCCAGGAATTGGGTCCTTCGTAAGTAATTTCTATCTACCCACTTCTTACCCTCGTCCTTTGTCATATATCACATTTTCTCCGGGTACAATTCATAATGTAATTCACGTCTTTTCTGCTGGATAAATCTTAAAGAATAAAAAACGCCCCCTTTCTTATTATATCGGAGAACCATTGCTAACGAAGGCTACAGATACCCCTTCCCCAAGCAAGCCTACCAACCCTCGTAAATCACCTTCCTCCTGAGACAGCAGTGAAAGAAAGAGCCTGTCAATACCAACAATACCCCGGTGGCAACACCAAACAGCTTTGTCGTTACTCAACTTGGCGCAAAGGACGGCGTTCTCGGGAAGAAAATTAGGATAGGGAAAGGGTAGGTAGAAAGATATATATTGCTTTTCAACAGGCGGTGGGGAGGATCCATTTACTGCATTTGCAAAAGCGAAGCGAAATGAAAAAAAAGATGGGATAGGAGAACGCGGGCCATCTTCCTCTATCTTTTTTTTTCATCTGCTGGGTTTCAACAACTGGAGGACATCATATTTTCTTGTCTTGTCTCTTGTTGTTTCTGTGCATCATCATTAAATTTGCTTCCATCATATAGCTAGAGAGCTAGCTGTATGATTGGTGGTGGCTGGCATTATCGTGCTGGCCCCTGGCCATCGGGATGTCGATAGTGGCCTTTGGTATACATACATTAGCTAGATAACTAAGCTATGTTCTACGATCAGATGATATGAATGCATGAATCTGTAATGGATTGATGTGAATGAAATTTGCAAGATGTTATAACAGATACCAACAATGCTCGATTCCTGGCATGCAGGGAATCGTGGATAGAGAATGTATCTGAAAACCGTAGGTATAGAAGATTTCCCGTCTCGCTCCAACAATCATCGACAATCATGTTCCTAGGTCAGGTTATAGTGAGGCTCTGCAAACTGGGACGATATTCTCTAAACAGGCTGTGTAATCTATCATTTTTTTTTATATACAAAACTAACAACAATCGTCACGGCAATCATTACTAGAAACTATCTTTAACACACGGCCAAGACCATTATATTCTCTATTATGCCAGTAAGTCCCCACGGCGAAGGATACGAAGCTAATCGCGAGGTAAGACTCGCTACAGACGGGGAAGTAATCAAATATGAAATTAAGCAGGCCCTGGCGGGGGGACTGTATCACATTTCCTGCTGTGTAGAAAATACGGAAGTAACCAAGAACGACGTAGCAACGTGTGCGTTTAATCGGGAAGAACATGCCGTGTTACGAGAGCTTAGAGTCTATAATATAATCTATTAGAATCTCTGTTTTAAAACACTTGCGTATATGGAATAGCACTTACCCAGCGATCACCACAGTGAGGTGATCAGCTTCCCAAACACTGATTTTTTTTTTGTTCAAGGGTTTAATACGTTCCGTCCTCGAATTCCTCGTCTTCGACTCTGGCTGATTTCCCCGTAATATGATTATGAACATTACAGGTAATAGCTTGAGTCGTAACGAGGATGTGACATGCTGGGTAAGCTGTACTGGATCTCGAACAGACGTAGAAGGGTACCGAAAAAGAAGACATATATGAAGAGCGCTGAACTCATTCTTTGCTCGCTTGATCATTAATGACCATAAAAAAAGGTTATGTCGCTGACGACGCAAGTTTCTCATGTTTTTGCCTACCATTCTTCTCCATAAGAGATATTAGGCCTCCCGCCCTCAAGCTGGATAACATCCGTCGTCTCACTGTCTGCTCGTCGGGCCCATTGTCCGCGCCTTTGGGGTCGCATTCTTCTTAGCAATGGCGTACCCGAAAGGTAAGATGTCATGGAGAAATGGCCGTCTCATTCTGTACCACCTACTAGATGTTTCAATGTGCCGCCCGTAGCAGCACGAATACTGTGATCGTCGACTCTTTCAACTGTACCAAATTATCGCCAAGGTGGTTGAAGGATGCTGGTCAACATACCCTTGCAACCGTCGGGGAGGATGCATGAATAGGGTATGTCTTAGAAGTAAGAGAGGTCCTATTACATAGACATAAGACTCTTGACCTACGGTCTAGTCTACTGCAAATCGGTATCCGGGAACACGGTTTTTAAAAGTGATAAGGCGTGGAAGAGACGATAAGATTGAGCTTGTTCTTTCGTAATGTTTCCTAGGAAATTCTCACTAATCGTAGTCCGCTTTAGTTATTAAAAGTGGGCATGACAATATCCCAATGGAAGCCATCACTTAGGGCGCTGTTTTTTATTTTTAAGCATTGTAGATCCCAAGAGCTGGTGGTCATAATCATAAGAGTCGCCCTCGGTGCCTAGAGCATTCTTAGCTTGATTTCAGTAGTGCGTAGAGTCATCCCTACTGTTGGATCCCGCACCAAGACGGCCGAACGGGGCACTGGCATTATAGATGCCGTTAGACAAGACCATGTTAGGGGGGCCACCTAGAGGCGCGGCAGGAGTACCACCATAAAGGCTACTCGGGTGCGAAAAGGCGAATGTCGATCCGCTTCTCGCAGGTTCCTGGAGCCAAGGAGATTGTGGTTGCTGGACTGCGGTAGGAGGGCCAGGTGCCTTACGTCTGGATACTGGGACCTGGGCGCTTAAAGCTAATACGGCCCCCGGCTCGACGCCAGCGGGGCTCGAGGCATTCGGGGGATAGCTGTGAGGGTCTTGAAATCCACCATATGTTCCGATTGACTTGCCGGACCAGTTTGGTCCAGGCGAGCTTTGCAGATTAGACATAGCCGCAAGTTGACTAGCAGAACGTTCCATGGAACTTGAGCCAATGTTAAGTCCGAGATTGCTCAAGTAAGGCGAGTTGGACCCTGGGGCAAATGGCGAACCTGACGTTCCGGGTGTAGATCCCCGGGCCCCTAAATAGGGGCTAGGAGCCACGCGGCTCGCAAAATTATCCGACGACTGCATATCATTGGGGACTAATCCGTGCTGTGCATAAAGAGTAGATGTCAAACTGTCAAGAACGGCAGCTCGCGATGCTTCGAGCGAGTCGCGAGAGCCTTTTGTTTCATGACGATTGAGAGCCGGCGAAGGTGCCATGGTTATTCCTAGCTTGCCATAAACTTGAGCTTGATGTGAACCAGTAGCTAGACCATTGAGATAAGAAGATGATTCGAGGCTGTCCGATTGACCGTGAGCACTCCTAGGTATATAATCGCCATCAGGGGGCAATTGGTTATTAGATTGACTGCTTGAACGGTGCGGAGTCGGCTTATAAAAATAACCCCATGGAAGACTAGGGATAGTCTTAGATGCCGGAGAAGGTTGTGCAGAAGTATGCTCAGAATTAGCGCCTAATTGACCGAAGACCTCATTTGCTGTAGTAGTATTCATGCCGTAACTTGTATCAGCCTGGGTCTGACTCGATTGAGGCCTGCTGTCTTCAGTTGGATCCAGAAGCTTATTTACCATGTTGACCATTTCACTATCTCCGCTCAAATCTGTATCTAGAAGTGAAAAAGGGGCTTGTTCGTCGACCGACTTCCCTTTATCAAGTCGATGTTGTGTCTTGAGGTCTATATCACTATTATCGTCGTAAGATTGTTTTGCATCCGCCGTAGCGATATTTGGGGTTGAAAACTCCAAGTCTTTCTGTGTTAGATCCTCAGGCTTGGCTTTCGTGTTGCCAAGCTTAAGCTTGTTCACCATACGTAACATGATCGCTTCGCCGACGGGAACTCGCTGAGAAGGTTCGTCAGTAAAATCCCAGCACTCAACATCTCGTCCCTCGTGCTGTTTAAGAGACATGACGAGTGAGCAACCCGAACTTTCTGCCAACAGAACACCACAATACACGATGTCTCTAATACGCCAAACCGCTTCCGTATCAGGTCGGTATTGGCAGCCAGAGGCCCTTTGACGGGGCTTGCGAGACTTGGGCTTTTTCGGTGAGCTTGGGCCCAGCAAGTCTTCCAATTGTGTGAATAATGGCAGATTCTCATTGGCAAACGGTCTAAGCCCAAGAGCCTCGACATCTTCCGGTAGTAGATACTTGGACGTGGCTGTGACCGCAACTTGATCGATGATCGCGTTGAGTAAAGTCAGCGTATCACTGAGGAGTCCGTATACGTCACTGGCATATGGCTCTAAGAATTCTCGGTAGCTGTTAATATCGGCCTGAGAAACGTAAATCCATGAGATGTAGAGACGGATAAAAGGGAGAAGCCGCGTTAAAAGCTGACTAAAGTAGATAGGACTCTCAGCACTGTCACGGTTCTCGCTTTGCTTCTCGGAAGCCGGAGACGTTGCAGATTCATTCAGTAAAGCCGCCTTTAGAACTCGAAGGAGAACCACAAATGTACGGATATTGAATCTCAATAAAAATTGGGCAGATTGGGAGCCTTGTATTGTCCAAGCAGCTTTTGGTTGTAGTCAGCATATAAGTCAACAATAACTGAAATATCGACCCGGCAAACTCACCCTTTACTTTCTCTAGAGCAACGTCATATGCCGCGATGTTGATGAATGTCATCCTGCGTAAGATGGCGTCGTCGGGGTTAGATTTGATTGTCATCTCTATGCGATGTAGCACTTCTTCTTCTAACTCAGACTGCTGAGAAAAAGGCTCTCCTTGGAAGAAATACGCATGTAGTCGGAGGAACCAGGTAATCATAGTCTCATTTGGATCTTTTGGCCCCTTGCGAGCAGTAGAAGGATTTTCCAAGCCCTTGAATTCTCGCTCAAGGTTAGTAATCCCTAGTTGGTGCGGCCTCGCGATGCAAATAGAACGGTGAAAGTGATAGACAATATCGAGATGCCGGGCTTGAAGTTGATATAGTACGGCTAATTGGTGGTGGGCAGAGCCGTCATCGGGGTCAATGGCGTTTGCTAGACCGTAATACTCCAAGGCTTTATCGAAATTCGTACTGGAATTCGAAAGTTTCTCGGTCATCTGACATCGATACCTGACCAAGTCACCGAGGTGAACCAGAGTGATCTGACATGATTTCAGAATCATTGCGCGAAGCCGAGACGGAGGTGTTGAATCGGGAGGGGGAATCGCTTCCGGTTCGATATCTGTACCATATGCAACTTGGTGAAGTTGCGGGATATAGAACCGCCCAGACAATCTTTGAATATAGACACGGTAAAACGATTGGGACGTCCTCAGAAATGCCCGGTACTGTTTCTCTAGCTTCCGTCTCACAACAACTTGATTCTGTGCCAAGAGGCGGCTCATAACCTTTCGGTACTCTCCATTAAGAAAGGTGTGAGCATGCCATAGAAAGTGCTCAACATTCTTACCGGCTGCATACTCGAAATCATGGTTGATGACGTTCATACAAGCTAGACGGAATCTAGAGCAACGATGGTGTTAATATCTTCCGGTAGTAGTAGTAACACGGAAGGGGAGTTCATACTCAGCCATCGTCTGCTCAACTTCATCGAAAGCGGATGTAGTGTTCGTAGTTCCGCGTTCTTTCTTCAGGCTTGATATCTTTGCCATTATATCAGTGCGGATCTTCTGGGCGTCCCTGCCACGGATGTTAATGCAAAAACCAAAACTGGCGCATCTGACAAACATAGACATACCCCCAGCTCGCTCTGGCTTTGTCTCGCGGGTTCTCCATTGTGGACGAAGACGGGTTACGATCCTAACGTATATGCGATGTCGAAGCGTGGTATAATAGCGCTATTAAGTCACCGTCGCTCTAGGGCGCGGGGTTTGGGTTTGACTGGGAAACTGTTGCGACAGCTCACAGCCGGGAAGCAGGATCACACGAACTCGAACCGGACATGAGGATGCGGCGGATATCCATAATTTGAGGCGTGCGACGAGAGGCAACTGAGGCGCGCCGTACAAGATGGGGCAAAGGTAGCTTTCTCGGAGTATGATATAGGGTACATTTGCGGATAGTTGTTAAGAGAAGGGAAACCTCGTAGAAGAGATGTCCAGCACTAAGAATTAGACGATCAAATAACTAGTAGAATTAAAGTTAGGAAATCGTAGGCGCAGACAGAAGCACGGGTAAATACTACGTCTGCGACTAAGAACGAGAGCGTCTTATAGACCAGGGCGTCTACCGGGTATACAGGAACCTATGGTAAGGTTAAGGGGAAAGGCGTGAAGGTGAGGAATGAATGGATGGAGGGTGAGGCGACTGAATGGGCTCATAAAGTTGTAGTGTAGATCGTAAAAATGCTGGGAGGGTCGGCGCACGCCAATGATGTGCTAAAATCTGCGAGCCTGCCCAAGGACCGATGTAGTACAGACAGGCAGGGCTACATAACATGAGGTACCCAGTAAATATTGAACCTTAAAAATGTACCTTTCTGGATGTATTATACAGTTAGGTATAGTAGGTACCTACCTCATAGCACCTAGGCAGACTGGCAGACCCCTCGTTGCTAACCCCGGATTAGTTTAGGGGTCCTTTTGGCACATTTACATTTTGAAGGTACCTTAGGTACCTTGTACGCTTGCAGCCACTGAGCTTGGATTCACAGGCCGTTAGACCCTGTCCCTTCAAGTCCATGCGGCAGATCAATCAGATCAATCGTCTCTAACTCGCTGCATTCAGTCGCTAGTAAACCTTTTTTTAAGTTTTGAATTTCCCACTTGGCATTTTATGGAATCGACGAGTTACAGTTCAAAACTCACTGACCGCCTCCGTCAAGGTGGCATGGTGGCCCAAGTTTCTTCCATTGTCCACATTCGTCACCAAACTTTGTAACTTAGACTTTAATATATTGTGTGCTAATAAGTTTATTATGCCTTTGGTTATGTCTCTTTGGCTTTGAGTAACTATCGCTGCTATTTTTAATAACTACCATTCATTATCTACAAGGACCCACGAGTGATAAAGAGTTACCTAGGTATTCAAATCGTCAAGTCTCTTTCATGTACAGTACATCGCTTTTTAAACCCCACCAAGCGACTTTGATACTTACACAAACTTGACCTCATCTTCAAGACCGTCGACGACCAAGCAAGCGAAACTTCACGCTTGGCTGCTACCAAATTTCTTGGGTCACTAGCAACCGTCCCTGTTAATGTAAATTTACCCCAAATCTCTATATTAAGTCCACAACGCAAATATGAAGCGCTCACGCGAGCCTGAAGAAGACGAATTATCGTCGCCGGAACCTGAAGCTAGCTCGGACAAGATTTCGAATAGCGCAAGTCCACGAGAAGTTGAAAGACTTCCACCGACGAAAATCACAGAGCTTGACGAATCCGCCGTTGACGACGACAACAATACCTTCGTAATGAAGTGCTCTCTACCCCCGCACCGAGACGTGCTGTCGTTCAGGACGTATACGGAATATGAAGCACACCACAGCAGGACGCATATGAATCGATGCGTAGAATGCGGAAAGAACTTTCCATCCGAGCACCTATTGAATGTTCATATCGAAGAATGGCATGATGTCTTCGCCGCCGTGAAGAGGGAGAAAGGCGAGCATACGGTAAGTGTGCTCCCGGAGTCAACCCGGTTTATGCTTATGAAACTAACTATACTTTGGGTAGTATTCTTGTTTTGTCGAGGGTTGTGATCGAAAGTGTAGAACTCCTCAGAAGAGACGGAGCCACCTCATCGACAAGCACATGTATCCGAAGAATTACTTCTTTGGGATTACTAAGGACGGTGTCGATGGAAGGCAGTCGCTACTAATCGAATATGGGCATCGTCGACGAAGGTCTTCTACGGCAACCAACGGTAGCGGACCAAAAACAACAGGCCGAAGGCAGAGTCTTCGGCAAACGGACACAGCGAAGCCGGAAACGCAAGAGCCGAAAACAGAAACATCAAAAGTGACCTCTCCTCAGGCTGAAGTCCCAGATATGGAGATGGAGGATCTGGCTGGCGCTATGTCCGCACTCCAGTTTGTCCCCACGAGCATACGCTTTGGCCACAGGAAAGGAATAGCGGGATTCGCAAGACGATGATGTGACGAAAACAACGATAAATGAGGACACGAGAGCACGAAATTATGAGCATGAGCATGAACCCAACGACATCAACAGTAGCATTACATACGAATGATATTCTAGCCCGTGATAAATGATGCTTTCTGAATTGAGCCTTTAGTCTATTCCATTATCTTCCCTAGAAGCTCGTGATATCATGCAGTGAAACGGATCGCCCGTACTCCAATAGGTATAGTGATGCCGGAAACCAGTATGTAGAATGAACCCTAACGCCGTTATGCCACGAAGCCCAACCAGTGCATAAACTCAAAAACCATAATTTAATCGCTCGAAGCGCAACCTCTGCAGCCGCAGCTGACACATTGGACATCCTGCTCGTCCTTCAACTGGGCTTTGGGTACTCGGCAGACACACGTCGACTGGAAGTTCGTCTCCTTGGTCTGGATGCAGCGGAGACAGCATAGCTATTACAGATCCCAAAATCAGCAAGACGTTCCAGTTTAAACTTTACAACGTTGTGTTATACATACCTTCTCGTAACCCTGCTTCTTCCATTTAGCAATTAGCATAGCGTCAGCATACCCATTCTTAAGCAGCCAGTCGTACAGCTGCTTGCTGATAGCCTCCTTCTCGTAGTAGAGCTCGTAGACATATCGGCTTCGCTGATGGGAGATCTGGAAAATGGGCCATTGCGCCTGGTGCTTGGGGATGTTGTTCGTAGGCAAGTTCTGCGCGTCCTTCATCTTGATGTTGAAGATCTCGAGGTCGTCGCGGATGTCGTCGAACCCGGCTGGCGGCTTCTTGGATCGTGACGAGCCGAGGGATCTGACCGGTGGCATATTGTAATGATTGTATTGGATTCGGCGTTGGAAGGAAGCTTGAGTCGTATTCGTAAACTAGGTAGTTGTTCAATGCCCGACTTCTAACTTCTTGGAAAGTAAACAGTTCAACAAGGTAGTGGGGCAAGGCTGAGAATTACAAGAACGAAGCCTTCTTAGAAGTACCTAAATGTTGACCTCGAAATAGTACATGTACCTGACGCCACGCGATTATGCAAGATGACTAATAAGAGAAAATGCTCAGCGAAACTTAGTACGAGGTACTTAGGTACTTTTTAGTATAAGTGTGGCTCATGTGGCTAATGCAGCCCAACTTCCAAGGCTCAGTTCCCACCTTTCGCTCGAGACAATTACCTAGGAAGCTAAGAAGTTCGAATGAACTTCAACGCTAAGTCAAGGAGCATATCTCACCTATCATGGCCATAGCACCTACACAATTCGCGCGAACGACGCGGACATGTTAGTATATACCTCCCGCTTCCATTTTCCCATGCTAACATAGTCCATAGCGGCCAATTGGAACGACGCAAAGCGACGAGTCCTGGCGGCTTATCGAGAATGGATACGAGCGGTACGGATCTCCCCGGAGCGAATGCTTCATACCTATCCACAGCTGGAACGAAACACAGGGTGGTTACTTTGTAGGAGAGAGGCTTATACATGTTATTTTCTAGGCACCTGAAATCCAGACGATGTACTCGATTCCCTTCCCAGTCTCCGTCATCCGCACACGAATGCGAGAGGAGTTCGAGCGCCATAGGTTCGTCGACAAGCTACCGGTAGTCGATGTGCTCCTTGTGCAAAACAACGCAGAATACCAGGTCAGTCGATAGATAGCTCGATACACAGCTACGGGTACCGAGCGGGCTGGATATAAAATGAGGGGCGCAATATGTTCATATTAGGAACATTACTAATAGGTTTATACATTAGGAAACCATGAACTTCTGGAAGCAGACTACACATGTCATGTCTTATTTCAATAGCGAACACTTCCGAGGAGCCAACAGACTGCCGAACAATTTCATGCAAGGTTTCTTAGAGGCAAGTCTCTATTACGAGATCCCTCACATGGGAGCCTTCCCGCTAACAGTGCCTTAGGGTCGCAACTAGATATGGGTATCGTCCCGCTGTATTGTACATAGCAAGACCCGAAGTCAAATCCTAGACCTGAGAAAGTTGTTTGTCTATCATACTCCGAACGCCGCAAATGCCATATCCTCCATATTGTGCCAAGATACTCTTAACTAGTCTGAACTGCCTGTCTTCTCCTCTCTGCTTCTTCTTGCCTCTTGCGAGCCTGCTCCGGGGTTGCTTCGAACTTCTCTCGCTCTGTCCAGAATTCGTCGGCAACGACATCACAGAGGTCCTCTATGTCCTGGAGGCCTTTGGCCAACGCAGCAGCAGCAGTCGTCGTGTCTACAAGCAGTCAATACCGAATGAATGGAGATTGGTTCTCGGGAGATTTCCTACCGTATGTTTGGATTCTCAAGTTCATCTTGTCCTCGGAAGGATGGGGAATGGCGTACGCGCAGAATTCGACGTCCGGGCTATGATCATATTTAGTTAGTCGCTTTACTCCCGACAGAACAGAATATTAACGTACTTCTTCATGATTATATATCGCAGAGCATTGCCAAGTGTGTGACCCTCCTTCAGGAATTCGAAAGAAGCTGCCGTTTCAGATGATCCCGGTAGCTATGTGCAACATTTCGTTAGTGACTTGTTCCCTTCAGACCAGTATGTAGACATTCGAACGCACAATTCTAACTCGCTGGGGTTCCTCCTCTTCTTCTTCTTCCTCAACAGGGTCCTCATCGCCTTCCGATCCGTCCTCCTGCATGGCATCTCCGTTTTCCTCTTCTACGGGCTGTTGCGCCGAGGTGGGAGCATCGTCCATGGAGGTATCTACCTCCTCGGGCGCATCGTCGCGAGTCTTCGTTCTTCCAGGCATGGCGTACGATATTGTATTATTATATCAGGAGCAGTTGATATTTACGGGAGTAGTGAAAATGGTCGACGACTTATACCGACTAGACGCAACTTTACTGGTGAAAGTGTAGCGCTCAAGAATTTTGGCGGGGTCCGTTATTGGTCGAGCTCTGACGATAAAATTTAAGGTTAGCTATCACAGGGAAGACTTTGATTGGCTGACTAAGAGAATTGGGTCCGATGATTTTCCGGCCGTCCAGTTTACATAGTACCTCCTAGGTAGCCTCCAGCTATGGAATCTACATCATCACAATTCAAGAGTAACTTCAATATTTTCCTCAGCCTCTAGTATATTTCAACGAAATAAGCATACTTAATTTTACTAGTTCTAGTTAAAGAGAATATTCTATCCAGTTGCAAGCACGTAAACATTATTTTCACGCCGCCCATTCTCAAGACCTCGTTGAAATAGGGTCAATTCCATCTAACTAGATTAAAATATTCTTGCTTTCTGAGAAAAGGAAATTAGCATTTGATTAATACTCTTTCTAGCTATTAGAATATATAGTCCAATTTGCATCCAGCTCTAATTCATTACCATTACAATAGTCTTGAATAATGATGCTCATACATCAACATGTTTTGGCTGTATTGATGTTACTTGCTGGTTGTGTTCATCGCAGAGACTCGTACACGCCAAGATATCTTCGTATGCTTGGTCAGATATCTCCTTTTCAATCGGCGGTTGGAAACGACTATCCGGAGGGGTTTCCAGGGGCAATTCCGCTTTCACAGCCAATTTGATATGGATAGATTCGTAGAGACGACATCCGGCATAAATGTGGTCATAGTGCATGCCGTGGCAGACGATGGTGAGTTGTTCCAGGTTTACCAAGTGATGATTGATAATATATAATAGTTCCAGAAGCGCCAATTGGAAGGTTGGCCCATAATACGAGAAGTGCCACCCGAGCATCGAATTGCTGATAGCGATATGGCGGATATAAGCCATATCTTTCGGGCGAAGTTGAGACATGAAAATACTGAACCAATCTTTCGGGCATCCAAATGCCATACCTGGTCCAAAATAGAGCATATCTCTTATGGGATCAACAAGGCCTCCAATACCAAAACGTAGACTATATCGTTTCAGTGCCTCTTGTCGCGATTCTCTACATACGTGCAGATTGGCAGGGGTTTTGCACACGTACGTATAGTGAACTTCTTGTTTACGTAGTTTCAGCTGGGGTTTAACACGCTGTGTATCTTGAATTTCTATACAGCGTGGTAGTAAATTATATTCCCATATCATTAGCCGGAGTTCGATGGGAAGTTGAGGAAAAAAATGCTGCAACGTATTAGCGTCTATTTATACTTGGGCATCTTTAAGACTTACGAAGACTTGGAATCCGTCTCTCGGTGTTGGCTTTACGTCATGGGTAGCCTTTGTGAGCCGGGGTCTAATAAGAGATAGTATTTCGTGCATTGCTGATTAATATGGGATTCTGAAGTAGCGGGAAACGCAGAAGCCGAGCCGAGTAAGAGATAGAAATGTATAAGCTAAAAAGTTATCTGCAAGATGAACGACATAAGAGGGTTAGGTATTCAAACATTATATAGGTACTACTAAATTTATAACGCTTAACTTAGACCTACAGTCAGCCCGTAAAAGGGATAGAAGGTACTAACAAAGCAAATACAATAGACACTAAGTCACAGGAATAAGATCCTGTGTCCTTTCAACATGTAACAATTCCTAACAGTACAGCTTTAATTAACTAAGGAAAGATATCTTTAGGGTTGCGGAAGGCCTAGTCAGTAGGACTCGCAAGAATAGTACAACGTATCGAAAATTGTGAAAGAGACCGTCCAACCCACATGCGTCTTCGTCCAATTGTGACGCGTCAAGCTCCCGGATTAGATATTTTCAATTCAACCTGGAAAGCCCGGGAAATTAGAACCTCTTTCCAGCAATGGGTAGTTTAATACATATGTGTAGTAGAGCTACCAACCTACATGTAGGTTACTATGGGTTCCTGGAACGTGTATGTAGATCTTCTTAAGTTATACATAGGTACAGTCCGATCTGGCCATAACGAATCTACTCTATAACGAATTTTCTCCTTAACGAATTGATATTGGGTTTTTTTGAATTTTGTATGTAAAATAACGAATATTTTCATATAACGAATTTCGTTAGATTTCGTGATTAGTCACCACCTAATTCGTTATGAAAAAATAGAGTTAAACCGGTTTAGGAATGTCACTAAACCTATTTCGGCTTAAACTTTTATTAAATTTTATTAAATCAATATTTTAACCAGCACTTTTCTATTTTAGGTAGTAATGTGGTCTGTGCACTTATCTATTCCATAACGAATATTTACCATAACGAATTCGAATCGATGTTTTTTAAAATTCGTTATGGCCAGATCGGACTGTAACTACTGCCAAGAATGTTCCAAGTTTAGTGGGACTAACTAGTGTAGAAGGATCTACCAAACCCGACAGTTCGGATACGGCAGTTTGAAGCTTATTAGACAGGTTGACAGGGAACGCAAACCCCTCCCTCCTTTTGTGATATCATAAACTTACAGGCTCAAGATGTATAAGATCCGAACAGTCTTGACTATAAGGAATGATTAAAATGTGCATTTAGCTAACGCATCATAGAACCCCAGGGTTTACATGCATTTATATAAATAAGGCGGCAGAAAAAAACTTTTAGCATATTTAAGTTCGGCGTTCCTATAATTTCAATAGGAATAATGTGAATGTCATTCCTAATAAACCAATTCCTAGGAATCGCACAGATCAAACCCAACATGATCGACAGGTCGCAGCGTGATCTACGGGTTTACACAGTAGGACTTATGTCTTAGGCAGCCATTCAAGTTATTATTTCGCCTGTAATATCGCAGAATGTGGTTGGTCTACGCCGTGCCGCGCTGAGGTAGAATCTTGGTAAGACCAGGAATAAGACTCCTACGGAAGCGGGACGGCGCAGAACTCTATAGATCCTTCCGAGCACCCTTACCCCTTATCCCCGCAGAATTCCCTCCGGATGTTCTGCATTAGCCCATCCAGACGGCCGGCCGGTCCAGGACTTTATCAAAGCAGATAATTGCCCTAAGCGCAAGCGCTTGAAGAAAATTGACATCTTCCAGCCAATTCCGTCTTCGACCTAGATAATACTTCGCAGGGGTGAATTCCCATGGTAGTAGCGAACGGTGACATACATTGGCGCCGGCCCTCATGATTGGCTATAGTGGTGCCGGACGTCCACTTCCCCGAACTCGTAAGCGCCCGCGAAGGTCTAAATTTGGGTGTCTCGGGGCCAATCTACGATAGCCCGAACCCAAGTATGCCTCTTAGGCCCCGGCCTCAGGTCAATCACACGCGTCTAGCATGTGCGTGGGCGCATCGCCTTCCACGATTAATCTCCCGGGCAGAGCTGGATATGTATGAGGGTATCACCCGGAGTACTATCCTTAGCATTGCGCATGGCTACAAGCGCTCAAAGGGACCACGAGACTAGGTCTAGACGGGATGGCTTCATCAACTATAGTCGAATGGTTGAAGGCGTATATTCATTCATATTCGTCGCATTTCGCCTTCTCATCAGGTTTGTTAAGTTGTCTCTTTTCGACATCTCATTTTCTCATTGAAGTTGCTTGTCTTTGGACTTATCCATTTCCTTTTTTGGTCACTTATTTCCCTTTCTCTATATTGTTTCGCTTCGTTTGATCATATTCATATTTATCTCTATTCCATAGTCAACATTCTGTGAAGGTTGAAAACGGATAATCGCCTATATTTCTTTTTCGCTCTCTCTCCATCTCTATCTATCGTCACCATGTCTTCCGATAACAAGGGCCGTATCCCCACGCCTTACTCGGACGTGGATCCTCAAGATCACCAGTACCAGAGACATGTGAAGAAACTTCGTCTTGTTGATAGTGCTCGCATCGGTCTCACCGGACTGGCCCTCCTCTGCGGCCTGACCATCCTCGGAACTGCAGCCGATACCCTAGCTATATATAATGCAACACACCTCTCGAGCGATTATCACTTACCGTTGTGGCCTGACCAATTCGATCTCCGACCCACGGTGGCTCTCGTCGTTGGCAGCACTATTGTGGTCATTGCCAATATCGTATCTCTGCTATGTAGCAAAGTCAGGGTGGTAAGTACAACTTCATTAATAGATTCCCTTCGTCGTGAAATTGGGTTCGTGCTAAGAATCTTCAAGCTTCGCAACCATACCTCGGTTCACACGTCTCTTACTTTTGCTGCGCCCTTCGTTGGCTTTACGGCTGTCATGATTAGCATGATTTTCTTCTATGCTGTCAATACATCAGCCACAAATGATACGCTACAGAGCTGGAGTTGTCAGTGGGGATTTGCGAGCATGGGCGCGAAGCCGCACTTTGGCACTCTATGCAACGAAAGCCGGGTAGCCCTGTACCTGTCTGTTATATTAGTTCCTGTCGAGTTGATCGTCTTTACTGTCGCCGGCTATCAGTCGATCTTGGAGAGGAAGGCAATTGGTTTCATCCCGTCTCACAAGACTGGCAGTCCTGTACCATCAGCGTGAGACTCAGTGTGAGACTCAGTGTGAGACAAGGAGTGGACCTAACTAGCTCTCGACCTGCACGCAACCGCGGGCTAATGTCCTGCAATATGGAGACGATCCATGCATGCAGCATAGTTGTCGGAGACCGGTCTTGATGATAAATAAGGTGCGCAAGGAAAATGACTTACAAACGACCAGTGCAGAAGAGCTATGGTGGTAATCTGTATAACAGTTGTAACTTGTAATAGGCCGTCGCCGAGAAGTGGCGATGCAATAAACATTATCTGAAATTCTGAATCGATACTGCGGGTTGACGTTCTAGGTCATCTTGATTTGTGTATCCGGGATAGACTAATTGGTGTGATATCTCGGTTCTCGGTAGCCCACAATAACAATTAATTCGGATTTGGCCGCTACCCACTTGAGTTGGGTATAGGTATTAGGTGATAAAAAGAGTCTCGGATTCTCGGATACCTAATGCAAAGCGATAGATTAATACGGCTATGTATCATGTGGGCGGAAAGCTGCGGCTCTAGCTCTGCAACGTGTTTGTTTGCGATAAGACTCCAACTATAGACGACCCAACCCTCACTTATATAGATAGGAACCGTCATCCTAATATAATTGCGAGAACCAGCGATACTGAACGAGGGGTGGCCCGTGGGATTCCAAGTTATGGACCACCCTGATTTTCAAGCTTCCACCAAGGAATTATCTCGGCCGCTGGATGCAATGTCGCTTTCCTAATTGCTATCATCGATGGATAAGCGGATGCAAGCGACCAGAACGGGTTGCAGCGTTGTACGGTAATGCTGTGCGCCCATTGGCGTCGATTGTAGCCTTCCATGTCCTACCTAGATCCAGCCTGTCGTGTGCACCGTGTTACAATGGTCTGATAAGGATTCAAACGAATATGGCGATAGTAGTAGGTAGATGGGTTTTCGAAGGTTGAGATGGTGGGGGGAGATAGGAATATGAAGAGCCGGTGTCTATGAATAGAAAGTATATGTACTTTATGTAAGTTAGGTATTAATGATGTATCAATATTAACAGAGAATGTTGAATGATGTAGGTAAGCAATGTCAGTGCATAGTAGTAAAAGGGAGGTGCCACTATGTAATTCAACCACTCGGTACCTGCCTCATGCATCCTGACGACAGCCTGCCTTTGCTTGCTTTTGCCTGCCTTTGGGTAACCTTCCTTTAAGTAACCTTCCAGACGTTCCAACATTACATGAAGTTTTTACAAACGACCTCCATTAGGTTATTCCATGTTGCTTCCCCTTTCATCACCATTACTCCGTCGGAGTTCCAAGGTTCCTATGTGCCACTAGATCTTCAATTCGGCCGAATTAACTGAAATTAATCAAAGAACCTCAACCCTTTATAATATCTACCGTACCAACTCACGATAAAAATAGGAGCCAAGCTAGCTGGAGGCCACCCACTCAGTTTTTATCATACTATATTGTAGTACTGCTCCACGCTTACGGTCTACTTACGAGGGGAAAGATAAGGCCTAGATCGGTATCCCCTTCCCCCAAGCAGGGAGAACCAGTCCCCACGTCTTGTACAGCTCAGCGTCCAATACGAACATCACATGCGCTAGATCAATGCAAGACAATCTGCCCTACAAGCTGACAGGACACTATCCCAACTAGGAGACCCAGATTCACCTATAAGGCGTCGCACTTGGCAATACACAAAACAAGATCTGACAAGACTTGACAAGACTTATGCGCGCTATTGAACGCTCCAACGCTTGTACAACAATGGTTCGACCAGATTCTTTGCCAGCTAGGCTGCCTCGTATAAACCCGCCCTCGACGGGTAACAATTATCCTTTAGCTGTTTCTGATGCCCCTTCCACGCAGCGAAAAGGCCATTCCTCACGTTCTTCGAGAACAAATATCGTCGAAGGTAACAAAATGATGCGCAATATTGATCGGCCCCCACCAGGCGACCCAACCGGCAGTCGCAAGTCTCAAGTACATCCAGATCTTAGCAAGAAACGAAGCGCCTATTTTGAGAGTGAATTCGCAGCAGCTAACCGGGGCCCGGACCCAGTCAAGGCTCGAATACAGAATGAAGCTATTGTAATGGCAGATCTAAGGACAAACGTCATCGTGAGTTTATGTGTCTACTCCATCAACGTGACCTACTAATACGGGCCCCTAGATCAAAGACGAATTTTCTTTTATAACCGATCTCTCATACAACCTGTCCAACAGGTATCAGCGACCAATATCTTCAATCGTCATCAACTTGAACCACGGCTGCTGCATGATGTTTGGGGGTTCCTTCGACCCGGCGTACACCTTAACTATTCACGCGCTTCCGAGTCTCGTTCAGCCTACCACGAATAAGAGGAATGCGGCGCTCATTCAGCGACATATTCAAGAGACACTAGGTGTCATAGCATCGAGGGGCTATGTACGCTTCGTCGCTACCCCCGAGGAGAATGTTGCCATCGGGGGCAAAACAATTGCTGCTGAAATAAACGAATCTGGTAATGCCATGGCCGATGACAAGCCCGCCGAGACTAGAAAAAGTACCAAGTCAAACCGGAGGCTTGGTGTTAAGGTATATTCTTCTTTCCTCTTCCTTGGCTGCGTGGCTCAAAGTCGGCTTGCCTGACCGGTAACTAATATATTTGCAGTCTTTTGGGGGCTTCAGATCCGCCTCTATGACTGATCTTGCGAAGGTTCCTACGCCACCCCCGAGTACCTCAGACGAGACTACGCCCATCACGACCATTCCCGAAGTGCCCCCTACGCCGCCCGAGGACGACAAGTTGGGTGACTTAATCGAGCACAAGCCGGTCAAGACTGCACCACGTCGCAGAAGCCTAAGATTCGGTCTGTTTAGTGGGAAGACAGCGGTGTAATAGAGTAACGGTCACAACCGCTTATCAATTTTGTGACACTAAACCTTTTGGTTGAGATGGCCTTATTATATTGCGGCACCTGGTTGAATATTTTAGTTGCGTCGCAACTTTCATAATGCGACGATATCAAATACGGACCGGCGTATATTGCATCGCTTGGGGGAGGCATTGCACTGGAGTTTAGGAGGGAGGAACAAGCATTCTATCCCATGGAACGTGATATTATTGCTATGTTGTATGCTCGCGTGATGAAGTGCGATCGGTGTATGATTTATTAAGAAGCGAGTCCTGATAAGCTAATACCTAGGGTCGGTAGTCGATAGTCTAATGAGTATATCCCGCGGCAAAATATACCTACTTACCGAATCAATTAGATTCTGTCAAACTCCTTTACAAGGAGATCAGAGGTTCTTGTGTATTAGGATACGCTTCCGAGGCGTAGATGTTAGATATAGTGAGTGGAAGTGAGCGTCACTGTTTTACGTAAAACTCAAGAGAGATAACTAGGTACATAACTACATAAAATGAAATTGAGCTTACTAAGGTTGGATGGGTTGTGGTTTCTTGCTTGCCGGCTGAAATCGCATGGCTTCGGTCAGCTGATAACTGTCAGAGCAAAATTGCCAGCTGATAATAACTTCGTGCTCGTCCTCCCTCAACTCCACATTGTGCTCTATCTCTCACATTCGACACTATTATTCCCGATTCCCGCCTAGAGTGAAACGAGACTATATCTGAGCTCTATATCTTGAACGCGACAGAAATTTCTTCCATCTGCATCAATGATTTATGACTTTCCAGACTTTATTAGTTAATGATAATTCGACGCGAAACGGCCTTCATTCAATAAGTTCAATTCATTTCGTATTTCGGAATTGCAGCTGTTCCTTGGGAAGCCATCGACGTCGGCGGAATAGAGGTAGCTGAATAAGAATAACCTGACATCCTCCCGGTCTACCGAAACATCTTGCCGACGCTGTGCACAGCCGTGTTGCCTCATGATTCTCGTCGCTATTTATTGCAGCCACTAAAGAGCCTGTGCTACATAAAAGTCATCATTAGCGGTGCAACTGTTAAAGGTGAGTCAGCCCGTGCCAGCCCGTGCCAGCCTGTTGGTTTATGTTGATTTAATAACTAAGCGAGTCTATTCGTCGCTATATAGAAGCTGACTCAGAATCTCTCATTCCATAGGCTAGAGAGAAACTCAAAGCGGACAGACAACCCGCTTGCCGTCAGTACGCACGGTCATCTCTTTCTACATCTCGTCCATGTCGCCGGGGAAGAGGGGAGGTTAGGGTTACCGTGCGTTCATTGCCCAGCGTAACAGCTAGATCCCGGTATCTTATCTGGTTTCGTCCTCATCATGGAGGTGAGACATTGTCTTTTATTTTGTTTTTTTTAAAACCCTTTTCCCTACTTATTTCCTTGCTTACGAATTAAAACACCATCCGAGCTGGTATTGCCTAGTGGCACAGGAACACCGCCGCGTATCATCGCCGACACTTTTTCTTTTTCTTTTTTTCTTTTCGAGCAGGGTCGTAGATCCATCGACGGGTGCTCGTATCCAGTCAGCTCCTCTACCATTATATTCTCTTTTTCTTCTTCTCTTTCTTACCATGCCGCCTCTGACACGCAGTCATGATGTGCAGTGGTCATCCCGGTTCCAGATATATCACCCCTATTGTTATTTTTGTTGTCGTTAGGCAAACGTCAGGTATAGAGCCGGGTTTGCGGACGGGGAGATTATTATGACCTGATTACCACTTATCCGAGCTGTCTGAGCGGAATCCCCGAGCTGTTTAATTTGTACCACGGTAAGATCAGCAATGGAATCATCTCGCTCTTTATAGATTATCAGGAGCGATATGCCCTGTTTCGATCGAGCTGAACATTCTGGGTCCGTGACCTTTTTCCCGTTATGAAATTTAACGTATCCCCTGGTCGAAGCTGCCTACATGCAGCCACCCAGCCGTTGTTGTTTTTTTATCACTACGACCTTGCATTCCCGTCTCCTTGGATTCGGCAACCTCGTTTGCAGATTGGCTCGCAGGTCTCCTTTAAACATATCGACAAACGACGAGCAATGAACATCTGCCTGTTCGAATTTTGAGATTCGCATGAGATAGTTGCCTGCCCTCTTCGTGTCATTCAGCAGAGATGTACCTGGGAAAAATATTATGCCCGTACGAGGAGCGCATCCAGTCCAACCAGCTTGGTCCTTGATGTCTCCAAGCCATTATCATTCGCTCTAAAGCTTCAATTCATACCTCTTCGTTCTTGTTTGGCTCTTTGTGTTATCATTATGTCTTCTCGGCTTCGCGGTTTGGACGCGTTCGACCCCGATGCTGCCGGGGCACAACCACACGAGATACAATCTAGTCTTGCGCAACAGGCTCTAACACGTGTATATGAACAGGACCAAAGGCTACGGAAAAATGGATCGAGGGTGTCCGATCAGCCCCCGGATCTGTCATCGAAAGGGAAACCTAGGTTGCTCCTGATGGGGCAGAGAAGGTAAGCTATCGTATATCAAACGTTAGAGGACCGGGCTGATCCTGTTTTTAGGAGTGGTAAATCGTCGATATCGAGCGTGGTTTTTCACAAATTACCGCCGAGCGAGACTCTATTTCTGGAGTCAACTGCGCGCATCCAAAAGGATACCATGCCGTAAGAAGTTGCTTGCTTGATACACGTGATTTCTTCTTCTAATATAACCCTTTAGGTCTTTTATGGATTTCCAAGTGTGGGATTTCCCAGGTCAGATCGACATCTTTGATAATCCAACCTTCGACATCGATGCCATGTTTGGCGAGATAGGTGCCTTGATCTGGGTCATAGACGCTCAGGATGATTATCTAGAGGCAGTAGCCCGCTTGAATATGACTATACTAAACCTTCAACGGACGTATCCGAACATCAAAATCGAGGTGTTCATTCACAAAGTAGATGGATTATCAGACGACTACAAGTTAGATATCCAAAGAGATATCACTATTCGGATCCAAGACGAACTCTGCGATCACGGGTTTGAAAACGCGCCGGTCACTTTTCACTTGACTAGCATATACAACCATAGCATTTTCGAGGCGTTCAGCAAGGTGATTCAGAAGCTTATCCCTCGACTTGGTATACTCGAAGCGATGCTTACTAACCTCTGTCGCACTTGTCGTTTCGAAAAAGCCTATCTGTTTGATGTCTTGTCCAAGATATACATTGCGACCGACAGTGAACCCGCAGACATGGCAAGCTACGAAATCTGCTCTGATTACATCGACGTCATAATAGACGTCACAGAAGTATACGGAAGCTGGCCCCGTACTCAAAAGTACCGCGAAGCTCTGGAAGGCCCACCTTGGAACCAGAAGATAGAGGATCAGGTGGCCTCGGGATGTGCTGAGAGCTGCATGGTATTGAGCGACGGGAACAAGCCGATAATACTACGCGAGGTCGACAAGTACCTTGCACTAGTTGCGATCATGAAGGAGGACAGCTATGACAAGATGCCACTTGTCAACATGAATGTCGAGGTTGTCGTGCAGGGTGTGAAGGAGTTCTTCGAAATTACGAAGCCAAAATGAAGAAAAGCCCAGCCATCGGGTTGGTTTTATAGCTTGAGATGAGGCAATTTGTCGCAGGAGCAACGCCCTGGGATATTCATATTCCACGGGGCGGGTAATCATTCAAGAAAGAATGAGCCTGCGCTATAGGTTCGAGACGAGCTATTCTGCGGTCCATGTCAGTCTGGCATGAGTAAAAGCCAGGCTCCATGAGTGCGTATTATAGGATGATCAGATTTGTGGTCTCAATCACAACTTGAATATAAAAGATAGTCTGGGAATAGCGTACCAATTTGATATGCTTACTAAATGTAAGACTTGTGAAACCCGCTATCCTCTCTTCAAAACAGCTTAGCTATTCGTGTAACTATTACATGGTAAGTGCTTCGTGAAAATGTGTTGTGCTAACACCACCAATCACAAGAGCCATCTGGAACGCGTGGGCATAATCGGAACAGTGCTTTGCAGAACAGGGCAAGATATGGCGTCCATCGTCATTCAAGATGGACACAACACAGCACAGCCTCAAAACTCAACAACATAAAATCCTATTTCGTAAAAGGGAAAGTTCAGGTCTAATTGTTTGAGTTTGGAACATTCTACGAACATTCTAAAAGCGGGTGAACAAGACGAGGATTAAACCTAAGAAGCAGAATTACGTTTGGTATCCGCTTGCGCATAGCATTCCAACGGCGTCCGTTCAAACAACACAGACAATATAGTCTCAACATGCGCTGTCCGTCCGTCCTACTACTAAGGTGCGCAGCAGCAGTCTTAGCTGCCGCGGACTCAAGCGGCGCTACCACCCTCGGCCAGCTCGCGCTGCAGAAGGTCTTGCAGGATAGCCGAGAGGTCTTCGGCGTAGAAAGCGATAATTCGTCCCGGCCGTACGCGAATTGGATGTCCAGCGTCCCCGACGCTACGCCCCTCGCGCATCTAAATATCCCCGGCACCCACGACGCCGCAACTTGGAACTACAGCCAGACGACGCAGGACGCGCTCGCATACGCCACGCGCTGCGACGGCGGAGCCGGCCCCGCTCCGGCTCAGGTCTACCGGACTCAGCGGCTTGGAGCGGCTGCCGCTTTGGATGCCGGGGTACGGTTTTTCGATCTGAGATTTGCGTTTGACCCTCTAGACCGGGATCTTGTCTTCTGGCACGGGGAGGCGCTGCTCTCGGCGCGTGCGACGGTGGATGATGTGCTGTTTGCGTTCTATGCGTGGTTGGACGCGCATCCGAGCGAGGCTGTGCTGTTGAGTTTTCAGTATGAGGGGGGGACTAAGGACGGGGCGGAGTTTGACGATGCTGTGAAGGATCGGTTGAGGAGCGTGCTGGAGTCGGATGCCGCGAAGAGGTATATTCGGCAGGATAGTGGAAGACTGGGGACGGTGGGGGAGAGTCGCGGGAAGATTGTGCTGGTGAGACGGTTTGATATGGGTGGTGCAGAGGACGAGACGTTGCCGGGACTGCACTTGGGTCCGGGCCAGTGGCCGGATAATGATCCTAAGGGGTTTGAGTTGGTGTATAATAAGACGAGCAATGAGACGGCGTATGTGGAGGATTACTACGAGCCTTCGGACTTGGGGGCTAATTCAACGGTGGCGGAGAATATTCAGGCGAAGATGGGTGCGGTGAAGGCGCATCTGGAGAAAGCTGCTGCTGCTACTGGGGATGGTGCGGATAGCTTGTTTATCACGTTTGCGTCGGGCGAGAACGATGTTAATGTCCCGCATGTATTCCCGCAGACGATGGCGCTGGGGAATGGGACGGAGGTGACGCCGGATGGAGGTGTGAATCATCAGTTGGTCAAGCTGTTAGAGGAGATGCGTGGAAGTAGGCTGGGTGTTGTGGTTTTAGATTTCTTTGACGAGCCGGATGAGTTGGTTGGGCTCGTGTTGGGTTCTTAGATGGACATAATGAGCTGGGAACCTGACGGTATCTCTAGTTGAACGTTGCTTGATTTGAGTTTTATATTAAGAGTTGGCTCTCTGTTTAGTAGTTGAGGAAGCTGTCAACTATGGGATGTTATACTATAGGCTTTTAATTACATACCTAGACAGAATAGGCAGCATAGGAAATAATGTTAATAGGCCACGTCTTCTGGTTGTGTTCTATTCTCATGGAGGTCATTACCTGTAGATGAAATGCTCTATTTGTAGCTAAAGGTTGGATTATAATATTGACCTTCATAGTTTTCGCAGGTCACTGTCTCTACCTAATATAGAGCATCATCATTGATCATACCACAAGACTCGGGTAGGCTTAGATAGGAAATTGAAGCATTACGGGATATGTGAAGTGAGTATACAGCGATTATGGGACATTTCTCGATGATAAAGTGTTAGATAGGTATATTATAAGCTATCTAGGCGAAGACATGATAAACCAAATATTACCTTATAGACACCATATTATCCTTAATATATGACACATGCTGTATACGAAGGACGCACTTTACGATTATAGACACCCGTACGTAGGTACCTAGCTCACCTAGAACTTGTAACTTACCAAACAGAAAGTTTCTCTCATGGCATAAAGTGTCCTATACGAAGAGTATGGTAATATGTTGGGCGATAGTCATGAAATTTGCTAGAGTACTTGTGCTGTCTTCGTAAACTCGCCCATCGCACCCTAAAGGGTGCTGCGCTTAAATTAGGGATTAGCCCTGTAATTAGGGATAGCGTTATAGGGGATGGAACAAATAAGAAGCTATTCCAACCTTCATTAACTAAATCCTGAAAAGGAAAAAATATTTTCATAATATCACGAAATATTATGAAAATGGATGAAAGTTTGAAAATACCTTTAGAATATATGGGAAGCCCTCCCATTCGGAAGTACTTCGGATCAATCCCCAATTACAGGGCCAATCCCTAATTAAAGCGCAGCACCTTAAGGGGTGCGGTCGTCGAGTATACGTAGACAGCACAAGTAAAGTCCTGTTGAGGCATTAACAACTGAACGGCCCGGATGGCACTAGACTGCAAGTCCACTTACAGGATAGCCATTTCCGCCAACATCCTCAGATATATAGGGACGAGATCTACACCCGGTGGAACACGGCCAAATGTATTCTGCCTCGAATAAACTACCATGACAAGTCAGACATGTCGCTAGGTAATCGGTGCCTGACATGACCGGACAGCCCCTGAATTTCCAACCTAACTACCTAGGTAGTCAAGCAGCTAGGACGTAGCGAGTAAAAGATCCGCTCATTCCCGAAAGTGAGGGAAAATTATCGTAAGGGGAACCGAGCGTAGCATGCCGGCGTGGGTAGCTGATCGCTCCTGGCGAGAGGGATACATCCGCGCTCACGGTTGAACGCCGGAAAGTCGAAGCTAGTTCCAACAGGCCTGACGTAGATCAGGTACGCAAAACAGTCCAGAACGAATAGTATCGAAGCCCGGGTAGATCATGTAGTATAGAAGCGTGACGATTTGTGGGGAAGTTCTCGATCCCGGCCTAGTTCTGCAGTGTTCATCCTGGATCGTACCGCCCGATCCCTTGCAGTCCACCGGAGCTAACAGGCTATGTATGAGATGGCAGCGTATGAAGCCTCTATGCCCAAAACTACCCGGCTACTGCGAATCGATGCATTCTTCTCCCCTAGTATCCACCAGCCCACTCGATCAGACATCAATTGTCATCCTAGCCTTCGTATTGATAAGCATATAGTCAGAAGCTACGTCGTCATAATCGGGAAACGATGTTGCAAGATCCGGCTCCTGTGCCACCGGCTCGGTCCGTTTAAAGATTGACTTCTTTAGGGAGGGTATCAAGCTTTTATATTAAATGTCTCGATGCGTCGCGGTATTTGGAATTCAGCCAGCGACTTGCTATAGGCCCGGCAGTTATCAGCGGCCCGGTTCACCGGCTCCGGCGAGCTGGGGCCGGATAAATTCAGCCCTCTGCTAGCGCCGCTAAACCCGCGGCGTATATGCGAGATCCTCCCGGCCGTAGACATAATGATTTCGTCGTTGTTGAATCTTAAGCGAGACGTCAGGTGTCAAGCATCTGCACTGCCGCTCCCATATGTACCTATGTTCTGCTTCGAGAATATGTCTATAAATTGGGGCGCCAAGACTACGCTGTAAGCAGCCGATATATATACCACATATAAGTGCATCAGGTAGAATGAGATAAAGTTGTGATCTACATTAGGCGAATGTGCGAAACCGATCCTTTCATCCTGTTAGCAACGAGAGTTTTCATTTACATAGCTACTCGAGAAATCCTTTGAATGACATAAAGTGCCATGTTGGAAGTAGGAAGATGAGCCACGAAGTTATCAGTAGTGTTTAAATGGCAGTATATTTTATGTTTAGAAAATTGGCAGGCGAGTTGGATATTCGATCCATAAGGACGGATTCTTTCAAGAACTAGCTGAGTGAGAAAAAGCTGTTGGGGAGCGTTCTCATCCCAATGAACATAGTTCGCTATGCTACTTGAGGACGAAGAAAAGTGATAGGCGGTAGGGTAGTATTGAATGTGTATTCACTCATCGGCGTAGTTAAACGACGATAGTCCTACGTCCATCTTCTTTATACCTATGTGATTACGCGCATAACTCAAGGCCACCTCACAATAGGATAAGTATACGATGATATCTTAAATCCTTAATGACGAATGTTAGCGCAATAATTTCGCCATCAGCTTAATGCTAGAAGAGCCAGGGTACGAACCGAGTATGCTATCAACTCTTCATATGATAGGAACTTATTAGATCTGGTATTGTAGTGAAGGTAACTGGCTGACTAGGTAGCTTCGAAAGCTGACGGCTTAATCAAGGAAGTAATATTTATGTATGTATTCCAAACCGTGCAGTAGTGGTCTGGAAAAGGAAAGAGACTACTTGAATAATCCACAGTTCCTACTACACTATGTAGAGTCCATGTTGATGCTACCTACCCGACAGACCAGAGCTAACCCTTGACAATAACACCCTTAAAAGACATCAGTCATATTCAAGATGCTTACAATAACTAGCTACAGTAGAACAAACGCGTCGGTGCGGCCCCAGTCCGCACCTCTAGTTAGGTCCTTGAGGGTAGGTATTCATCTTTCATTGGCGGTTATTTTGCGGGGAATTTAGTCCTGGCGTAAATGCAGAAGTCATTTGACTTGGAGTCGGGATGGAGGTGATTCGGGGTTATCGGTGATGTTGGTTTTGGGTGAGGCTGCGCCGTAGGAATACGCCTTAAAAAACGGACCGGTCCCTAGGATAAGCGCTAAGAGTCCGACCTACATTTACCTCCTTAGGTACCTCTGTGGGAAAGTGCAATGAGATAAGGGAATATTTAAGATTTTACAAGGAAAAGTGGGGTCACTATAATCTTTACTCAATCAACATTATTCCAATCATCATTAATAAATTCCAAGTGTTCTATCGAATTTCCCTTTCCACAGTTAATAAGCGTCTTATCACATAAATAAATGTGCCAGACGCGTATGCACGTGATGGACATGCCATCTTGGCAATCATGTCATCAATACATACCCCCCCAAGCTCGCGAATCTCGGCGTTTACCAAATACATACAACATCCTGCGTTCACCGTCACTGTTGTGGGATGAAAACTGATCATGCCAAGCATACCGAGCGAACCGAGCTTTCATAATCACTGCAATTATGTCCCACCGGGAGTAGCCAAGATCTGAGATTCGGCTTTTTTTGCGTCATCTAAGGCCACTATTCCGTCTGTCCTTGAGATGTCTCCAATAAATAGATAAATAGGCCGATCTGCTTAACCCTCTCGGGTTACTTTCTCCCGCCCATTATGCAGTGCCAATCCATTGCTAGTTATCTAGTGAGTTAAACACGTGGGAATCATTGGGAATCATTGCCTCAAGGAGCATTCCTTCAAGCGGCGGCACCGCATTACCGTGGCCCGCCCGGAGTTGCCTCGAACGGCATTGGTCTGTTAGTCTTACCTCCTAGGTTGGCAGGTTAGGTAGCTTACGATTGGTACCCGTCTAGGTCTCCATTTTAATTTCATGCAAGTGCCGGCTTTTCCACCATGCTTGCAAGGATCTTGGCCGTCTTCGTAGCGACCATACCCGGGAGCTTATGGAAAACTTCAACCCATTAATCTTCTACATACCTACAGCCAGGCAGCCAGGTAGCGGACCAACGGTGTGTAATTTTCCCGAATTGTAACACGCAAACCGCCACTTCAATACCACCATGCATACCTACCTCATAGTAGTACTGCCGTTCAGATAGGAGCCCCGTCTAAATATCAATTTGGGGCTACTTGATGATATTACTAAACTACAAACCGTATCTCTATCCGCTTCGTACGATCTTCATATGTCAGTGCAACACAATAGCGTTGCCATCCCTATTCTCGAGCTCTCTGTTAGGTCACATAGCTTGTTGCTAAGCTAATTGAGCTCGTTGATTGGGTTCGGTCGAGTTCGGCCAAGACAATTATGTCTTGGCTCCAGTCTTCATTTTCTTTTTTTAGCTTTGCAAACCATTGATGGTAGGCGGGTTACATGCATCGTCTCTCAAGGACCCCCACACCCGGATCACGTCCATGCAAAATTTATTGTACCTGACAGCTGTGATTAGGTTTGCAGACGACTGCTTGATACAACGATAATATACCGCTTCTGTTACGACAAATATCAAATTTGGCAGGTGCCTTTCTCTTACGGATAGGAACTCGAGTAGGAGTAAGGAATCAATATCCTTCACCTCGAGACTCGAGTTTCCGTCTGTCCAACAGGTAGCCTTTACTTTTTACTGCCGATCTCTGTTCGACTATCAACCATTAGTACAAGGAACCTGGATATTACTACTGAGCGCCTTTCTTTTAGTGGAAACCTTCCAATCAAGTCTAGTGCTATGTCATCATATTCAATAGCGCTCTATGGCTGGTATAAGTCTCGCGAGACTGTAAGACGTTTGCTAAGCACACGCGCACATGATGAACAGATATGACGCCAGCCGAACTTTATCGGCGGGATGAAGCTATCCCATGATATATCACATCAACGCCAAGTGGCGCCTCCAGCCTGTCACGTACGAGATACCGTAATGGTCAACTAGCTTACACACATCCTGTTGCAAGCGCCTATGATTTCCGCCC